TGTTACAAAATTGTATACAAAAGTTTTTTTAAAACCTCTCTAGGGTATTTCTATTGAAAATTAAGGAACTCTAGTGTGAGGATTGAACGTGAGTTGCTGAAAAACATTGCTTTCCTGACCCCTGTATTTGCTCTTGCCGTCCTCAATTCATGCTGAGGACTGGTGGTATTGTTGCTGGGCGGTTTTTTCCCGTAATTTTTATTTTTTATTAGTACGTGTTCGTAGTTCATAATGATTACAGTCTTCATGGGGCACATGTACATAATACATCTTAGTTCTTTATTCATCCCCTTCTGTCCCTCCTCCACCTCTTGATTCTCTTCCCATTTGCAAAATATCTATCTTCCTATTTCCTGTTATCTATTATTTTGCTCTTTATATTTCATGTGATGTTATTTAAACTTGTCTGATTTATTTTACTTTACATTATGGTTTCAAGGTGCATCTATTTTCCTACAAATGACTCGTTTATTCTTCTTTGTGGCAGAGTAGTGCTCCATTGTATATAAAACCACATTTTCTTTATTCGTGTGTCGATTGGCATATAGGCTGCTTTCAAGATTTAGCTAGTATGAATTGTGCTGCTGTATAAAGTGAGTATGCCTGTATCGCTGTAATATGATGTCTTTAACTCTTTTGGGAAGGTATCTAGAAGTATTGCTCTTTAACCAGTATAAAACACAGACTTATTCACAGAAGTAGTAGTAGAGTGTTAAATGTTTTGTTTCACAAATTAGGACATTGTATTATGTTTTAAAAGCTAATTCAGCCTTGAGCTAAGAAACTGAATATGAAGGTAGTAGAAATGTCATTAAAGTTTTTTAAGGCAACAGTAAAATAAAAGTAAAATTAACATTTCCTGTGGAGAACCCTCAGAGCCGATTTGGGGGCCAGGTAATTCCTGTACACTCCAAAACTTTTCACAGTAAAATCATTGACCCTCTTGTAGTCTAGATTATTATTTGTAAATGAGGGAGCTTGTTTGTTCTTAAGGCTAGAATGCTAACTTAGAAAACAGTTTATTGGGCATAATGACAGATAATATCAACAAAGTTAAAAACACATTTGAAGTTGAGTCTAGTGGCACACACCTGTAATCCCAGCTACATGGGAGGATGAGACAGAAAGATTGCGTATGGGAGGCCAGTGTGGGCAAATAAGCATCTCAAAGTAAAGTAAAAAAAAAAAACATTAAAAAAGGATGGGGATGATGGAGATGTAGCTTAGTGGTGCAGCGCTGGTGGCCCTGAGTTCAGTCCGCAGTACTGCCAATAATAAATAAAAAACTATACACTTTACCTAATCATGCACTGTCTTGCATATTACATATGCTTTCTCTTCATTGAGCTAACTAGCACATTCAAGACGACTTAGGACAATTTTTGATCCAACATATGAGCTCTCTGTAACAACACTTTGTTTAGCTATAACACTTCGTTACAGCTGGGGCAGAGATAATAGTTTATGGAAAAAAAGGTTTGCCACTGATTTCACAGCTTAATGAGAAAAATAAGGTCAAATTGATAAATTACGCTATTTGCATTTCCATTTAGGTTGTGATTTGTATTATAATTTATATTATTAGTAAAATTGTTACGGGGCTGGGGATTTAGCTCAGTGCTTCTGCCGCCTGTCTCACAAGTGCAAGGACCCGAGTTTGATCCCTGGTACCAAAAAAAAAAAAAAGTAAAACTGTTATAAGAATAAATGGAGGTTTATTTTTCCATTGTTGCTTTTTTCTTTTCTTTTTGGTACTGGAGATCGAACTCAGGTCCATGCACTTGTGAGGCAGGCGGTGGAACCACTGAGCTAAATCCCTGGCCCCGCTTTTTTCTTATTTGATACAAGAAATTGAATGGCTATGGCTATGAACAAACCATTTAATCTTTGAGCCTCAGTTTTCCTTTTCTTTTTGACAGCCACTTCACGGATTGTTGTAATAATTAAATTAGGAAATGTATAAAACTATTTAAATTGTATAGCAGTGTGCCACGATAAGGTATTGCAATAGATGTAATTTACTATTAATTTTAAAACGTATTTTACTTCATAGGTCAGGATAGACTACATTTAAACAATATTCCTAATCAGCCCAAGAAAGAGAACATTATAGGATTACTCCAAAAAACTGATGCTGTTTCATTTGTTCCAAATGAAAATAAATGTGTCGTTAATAAAATCCAGGAGGCATCTAAACAGTCTGAGCAGAAAGTCATCACGTATGTAATTCCTATCTACTGTTATGGGGTCATCTTGGGATATGGTTTTGCTTTTTCTTTACTTGCATGTGAAATGTTTAGAACTATTTATTTATTAGAACAATCTGTTATTTATTTTTTGATCTAGAACTGTTTAAAAGCTTGTTACTTAATACTTTGCAGTTTTGTCATGCAGAAACATATAATGATGAGATTTGTTATTTCTTGTTGTATTTTACCTTAGAGAGAATGAGTGGAAACCAGCTGACATTTTCAGTACTCTTGGTGAAAGGGAACGTGATAGAAGTTCATTGGAAGCAAAAAAAGCCCAGTGGAGGAAAGAGCTAGGTATATAATTTTTGTACCTTTTGTTTATGGATTATATAGTGAGGAATATAATCTTTTAACATATTATCAAGTCTTTTATTACATTTGTCATCCAGAATAGTTCTCTGTAAATGCATAAGCTTTATGGGTTTCACTTTGCTTTTAGTTGTGTCTTTTTGTTTGGTACTGTGTGATATGCCTGCAAAGCATTAATGTTATTGGTGTGTTCTTCTGGAGCCATTGTAACTCAAGAAAAGTTTCTTAAACTCTCAACAGTTATGTTTTCTGTTACAGAAATTCTATAGATTTATGGATGGTTTTATTTTTAAATAATTTACTTCAATTTTTTAATAACACATTCTAGTTAAGAATACTCAATATGATATGAAGCAATATATTCTAGACGGAAACAAGCTTATTATGATTAGCCTGTGTCTCAGTTACTTTTCTCTTTGCTTAGCCAAAATGCTCAACACCTAAAGTTAAAGGAGGAAAGGTTTATTGTAGCTCACAATTTGTAGAGGTTTCCATTCATAGTTGGCTGGCTCCAAGGCAGGATGGCATGGGAGAGGGGCATCACAGAGGTGAAACAGTTCATGATGGCAGAAGGCAGCAAAGTAGTGAAGCAGCAGCAGGCCTGCCTTCTTTCTTTCCCTTTATATCCATCTAGGCTCTCAGCTCTTTGGATGGTGCCAGCCACACTCAGAGTGGGCCTGCCTATTATCCACACCCAGAATTATTATGCCAAACCAATCAGTGGACTAATTTAATAATCACCCTGGATCCCAGCCAGCTTCACACCCTTAATCCTGGCATCACACACTGCAGATTCAGGCACCTCTAAAAAGCCCCTCCTATAACAACATGAGGCTTTGGGGGGACATCTACACATAAGTCATAACAGCTTGGGACTCTAATAGAAAAATGTATAACTTGTATTAGAGTCATGAAATTTTGTTAATAACTAAGAACACCCATTGGTTTTTAGACTAGACTTCAGGTCTAGATATCACAATTTGGAAAATATATGGCTTTAGCATTTATACCTCTTGAGAATAGATAATACTAAAAGCATGAGACAGCCTCACCCTCCATGCAGCTGGGAAGTTGCTATCTCTGATAGGAAGGATGGTTTAGAAAAAGAAATAAGCAGCAGAAGTAAGGAATGAATTGATATTAGAAGTCAAGATAATAGAGGAAGAAATTAAATTTGTGGTAGTAGTATTAGAAGAACATCTCTTTAAGTCATGTTTTTGTTAATTATCTTGGAATTTAAATGTATACATCTTTGAATTTGGTATTTAAGGAATTGATGATTTGAGATTTAGTTTAGATTGTATCTGTTAGAAGTTTTTTTTTTTTTTTACTTTTCAGAAATTATGGAAAATAATGACCAACGTATTTACTTTGTGGGAGACCAATAGGCACAGTTGTTCTCATTTTGCAGAAGAAACTAAGGTTCAGACCGGTTAACAAGCAATTTTCCCACAGTCACATAGTTTGGAAGTGGTTGAACTTGAAGTCAACCCTAATGTTCTCTGCCTTCAGAAGTCTAGGCTTTAAATGTTTTAGTGATAACTAAATGAGTGAATAGGAAAATAGAACATCAGCATAATTAATATAATATAAACTAAGTTATTCTGAAAGATTATTCTGTATTATTAATTGTGGTAATAAAAATAAAAGTTCTTATATCCATTTGTGCTGTATTTAAATTTGGTTTTGATTGTTTTATTTCATTTCCCAAATTCTTCTCTACTTTCCGAGTTAATATCCCTAAAAAACAGTTTTTATTAAATCTATATTGGAATCTACACACTCTTTAAGAAGGTCACAATTTGTTTACATGATTCTTTTCTTACAGTTTTTGTACATTTTTTAAAAAAGGACATTATTTACAGATGAACAGGTTGCTTTAAAGAAGAAAGAGAAAGAAGCTTCTGAAAAACAGAATAATTCTTGGAAAAAATCTGAAAATGATAAAATAACATTGGAAAAACTTCAGATTCTTGACCAATTTAGGGTATGTCGAAATCAAGTGTTTTGTTTGTCTTAACACATCTTAAAATAACACATGTTATTTACGATTTTTAAAATGCTGTAGCACCAGGGATTTAGCTCTGGTTCTGGCAACTGCCTCGCAAGCACAAGGTCCTGAGTTTGATCCCCGGTACCAAAAAAAAAACAAAACATGCTAGAGCAGTGATGGCGAACCTTTTAGAGCTTCCAGTGATAAAAGCAGCCCATTGTGGCACAAGTGCCATAGGTTCCCCACCACTGTGCTAGAGTATCCACATTACAAAGCTCATTTTAAAAGCTCATTTACTAAAAACAAACCCTTACAGCTTGGCATGGTAGCACATGACTGCGATCCCAGCACTGTAGGAGGCTGAAACAGGAGAACTGCAAGTTCAAGCCCAGCCTCAGCAACTTAAGTGAGACCTTGTCTCAAAAAAAAAAAAAAAAAGTGAGAAAAATATTTAAAAAGGCCTTCTGTATCGCACTAGTTAAAATCTGAAACGATAGAAAATTTTAAAAGGGCTGGAAATGTAGTTCAGTAGGAAGGCCTTGGGTTTGATCCTCAGTACTGCACCAAACAAAACTTTTCATACAGTGTTTTAATATAGTATTTTAAATTTAATTATGATCTGAACTAGTTTATATTTGCATTCTATAACTTGCTTTCTCATGTTAGTAGGTGAGTGTAGAGGCCCCCAGCACCTCCTTTAGGCTTCTATAAAGGAGAGTTGCAGTTTTTAAAATGGCATAAAACTCTGCCACTAACCATGTGATATCCGTGACACAGTTATCACATCAACCATGAGCATGTATGTATCAAACATAAGTATATATCAAGTACCTTTTGGGTAGTGCCTTGTGATGTTTAAATTCTATGTTTTTAATTTGAGGTAGAGAAAAAGTACCCTTGTTTTTTTTTTTAAGACTTTTGCTCGTTCTTCAAATGTTGTGTCAGTCTCCTTGTCAGCTTATGGTGGCCCAGGCTGATGGGTTTTCATTACATAAATCTAGTGAGGTTTTAAAGGTAAGTTCTAAGTGTTCTTAGGATATCCACTATCACCTCTTCTATTCAATATAGTACTTGAAACATTAGAGCAATTAGGCAAGAGAAAGAAAAGAGATACATACAAGAAAGGAAGACATCAGATTATTTGTAGATGACATGATACAGACACAGCAGACCCAAAGAACCCCACCGAAAAACTCTTAGAATTAATAATTTCAGCAGTGTAGCAGGATACAAGATTAACTCGCAGAAATCAGCATTTGTGTACAGTAACAGCAAATGGGATGAGAAGGAATTATGAAAATGATGCCATTCATAGTAGCTTCAAGACAAATGAAATACCTAGGAATTAACCTACTCAGCGAAGCAAAACACCTTTACAAAGAAAACTACAGTACTCTGAAAAAGGAGATTGAAGAGGACATCAAGAAATGTTCCCTGCTCCTGGACAGGCAGAATGAATATTGCCAAAATGACCATACTCCTAAATTAATTTTTAAAGGTGATTTCCATTCCTGTTTTGCTGTTCATCTTGGAAGATCCTGTTCTGTGTCCTGGATCCTCATCACCCAGGCCTTTTCTGCCTGCCAGGTAGTCAAAGTGGGCAGGTGTATGGTGTCTTGAGTGAGGGAGATTTTGCTGTATTTTCAAGGTCACCACTTATTTCCCAAACCTGAATTTTTATAGACTGCTTGAAATGGAGAATTAAATGAAATACTTCTTTTCCTTATACTTGGATATCATATCCCTCTACTAAGTACATGTTTAAAATATGGATGGGTCTTACAATATATCTTAATAGTATAGTAAAATTCTTGAAAGTTATTCTAGAAATAAATGCCTTACTGGGATAAATCAATTTAAATGACTGGCAAGTTTTCCAACTATAAAGTAGTTAAGAGAATTGAACTTCAGGTGGTTTGATAGTTGTTTAGGAAGCAATATTGCTGGAGTTGAATGAACACATAGAAGATGACAGCAAAGAAAAAGAGGAAAGATTTACATATTCAAAGATAACAGCTTTTGTGGCTATAAGGGAAAAGATTAATTTGTCTTTGATCATACAAGCTTACAGATATTTTAAAACTACTTGACTAGATCAGAGTATTTAAATTCTACACTTGCCATTGACCTCTTTTCATTGAATGTATTTAGTGTGATTTTACATATTTCTTATAATTTTTAGAAATGTCTTAATTTGAATTTCTTACATTTTCTAAGGTAGTTGTCCAAATATACAAGGAAATGAAAACAATACAATTGTTTTAATTTTTATGATGTTTATTCTGCTTAGCAGTGACATTTAGAAATCATGTTTGTCATCTAGGATTCTATGTGAATAATTGGAAAATTTCTTAGCAATTCTGTTTGGCACAATTAGGACAAAGAACATGACAGATGGGCAGTGCATTTTGATTCATTCAAGAGTCATCCTGGTTCTCAATCTCAGCTGTCCTCTCAATCTCAATCAACACACAACCAACCAGAGTACTTCAGTGTCTCTCCTGATACTCGGGAGCTGGCTGATTTTGGCAGCGTTTCTACACCTACAATTGGAAGCCAGCTTGAACCTTCAGAGGAGGAGCAGGTAGCAAAGCCTGTTAGGGATGTGGCTGTGGCAAACAGTCAGAAAACAAAGTAAGTTCATTCTTCACTTACTGATTTTCAAGACAGTGTCTAATTGGCTTTAGGTCTGGTATTTTTCTTTGAAATAGAAATGATTAGCAGATGTATCTAAAGCTACCTTTTTTGGAGTTCTGAATATTTAATATATATTGTCAGCTTTCTTCGTTCTATGACTGCTCTGTTGGACCCGGCACAGATTGAAGAACGGGACAGACGACGACAAAAACAGTTAGAACATCAGGTATTGCACAGTAAAATGTTGGTCTTTGCCTTAATAAATAATAGTCATGGGCTGGGGATTTAGCTCAGTGGTTTCGCCGCTTGCTGTGCAAGCGCCAGGACCCGAGTTTAATCCCCAGTACCAAAAAAAAAAAAAAAAAAAAAATTAAATAATAGTCATGGCCAACATATATCTAAGTAGATCGAAATTAAAATTCTGGTGTACTCTTATAGTAGAGGCCCTGTTCCATCCTATGAGAACCCAATCCCTGTCCCAGTTGACATGAAATTACAATTAAGCTTACGCAAAGAACCAGACATACACTACAACTGCCTGCCTTCCAGTAGAGAAAGTCTTTATATATAAGCTGTAAATCAGGCATGATGGTACATGTCTGTAATCCCACCACTCAAGCAAGAGGATTACAAGTTCAAACTCAGCCTGAGCTACTTAGTGACTTAGCAAGACCATGTCTCAAAATAAAATTTAAAGATTTTTAAAAGGGCTGGGGATGTAGCTCAGTGTGCAATTTGTGTGTGTGTTTTTTGTGTGTGGTATACAGATATTCCTCAATGACTTACTTAAACCACTTTTCAGACTTATGACTGAGCCAGTTTGGGCTTAATGACCCACAACTTGGACTCATGACATGGGCCCCCACACACACTGGTACAGTTCTGTACATCTTGTTTATAGAACCTCGATGTCTTTTTTTTGGAACAGTACACCTTGTTTACCGTATTGTAATTTTTGCTGATTGTAGAGTACAATACTGTAGTTTTGTGTTCTGTTATGTATTATAATACTGCATGTAAGAGTTATGCAAAAATAAAAGCAAAGTCACGAAGTTGAAGCTTCTGTTGACCATTTCTCTGTTTGAATATTGTAACATACATATTATATTCAATTCCTCATTTAGTGACTAATTTTAATGATCTAGTTACAGGAACTGGACTTGGTCATTAAATGAGGACTGTCTTAAAAGAATTTGTACTGTTTTAGATTGTTACTGTTAGGATATTTTTTGTTTTGTTTTTTGAGACAGGTTCTCACTATGTGGTTCAAGCTGATCTTTAACTCACTACGTAGCCCATGCTGGCCTTGAGCTCGGAGTGATCCTCCTGCCTAAGCCTTGCAAGTGCTGGAATTACAGGCATGTGCTACTACACCCAGCTAGTGTTAGGTATTTCTTCATCGATTTCTTTCTTCAGTTCTGTTCGGGTTAATAATTAGTTCTTTGAAAGGGATTAATATAGGGATTTGAAGCAGAATTATGATTAAGAAATCCAGAAAGTAATATAAGCATCTAAGATTAAAACTCTCCCAATTTTAGTCTAATACACTAAAGAGACTTAAATGTCTGAATCACTTTTTGTTGCCTTTTTTAGTTCTCCCTTTTCTTCAGTCTAATGCTCTCCCAACTGAACTATTTCAGCCTTGTTCTCTCTTTTCTGAAATCAAAATTTTCTTTCATTTTCTTTTGTTTTTTGAGATGGAGGGGACTTGCTATGTTGCCCAGGTGATGTCTTCTAAGTTCTGGGCTCAAGTGAGCCTCCCACTTCATCTTCCAGTGTAGTTGGGAAATAGGCATGTCCCTAGCTGAATAATTCTGTAACTATAACTTCTGATACATGAATAATTCAGCACAATGTTTCACTCTTACTGCATTCGTTGAACAGTTCATATACCATCTGCCATTTACCAGTTGTTATGCTAAGTAATGAGAATATTTCTGTCAGTTTTCCTAGTAGCCTTCCTGGGATTGAAGCAAAAAAGCGTGTAGAACTTGAAGATGGGAGAAATACATTACAGAATTTGATATTTTTAACTTTACACATACATAGTATTTCCTGTATACAGTACTGATGAAACTTTATTCTGAAACCAAAACAAATGCTTCACAGGTTTTTGTGGCAATGATTTATGTGATTATTTATGATAGAAAGCAATCACTGCTCAGGTGGAAGAGAAACGCAAGAGGAAGCAATTGGAGGAAGAGAAAAGAAAGAAGGAAGAGCAGGAAGAGGAACGTCGCTTGACACGGGAACAAGAAGAGATGCAGAAACAGAATGAAGAAGATATACTTAAGCAAAAACAAAAGGAAGTAGGTCTTTATATTTTCACTTAACATTTTAGAATAAAAACTCATTTTTGAGGGCAGTGAGAAGCTCAACATTTTTATGCAGTTTGAAATTGTGAAGCTATTTGTGGAGACATTAAAGCTATGTTTGAAGGAGCTTGAGAAAATTTCATTATTTCACAATATAGTTCTCAAATGCTGTACTGCTTTGGCATTTTCTGATAAGTGGGAGGTCAGGATCAGTTATAGCTCAAAGTTAAAGTTACCTCATGGTTGATTTTGATATCCTAGATACTAGATGTATGCTTTATTTCTGAGCATGATTATTAATTGCAGCTGTAAAAGAAGTGATTGGCCTTTCTATTCATATCCACCTATAAATAGAATCCTTTCTTTTCTGGCTGTACTGGAAATTGAACTTGGGGTCTTCACATTGAGCTACATCCCTTTTATTTTTATTTTGGGATAGGGTCTTGCTAAGTCACTAAATTGCCCAGGCTGGGCTCAAATTTGTGATCCTCCTGCCGGCCTGCCAGAGTGCTAGGATTATTAAGTGTGTTCCATGTCCAGCCCTGAAGCATATTTTTACAGAGTGCTTGAGATTGATAATATATATAGTTCATTGCTGTGTTAGTGATTTCCTCTGTGCTAAGTAATAGCCTTTTTAATTAGAATAGGTATCTGGGGCCGAGGATTTAGCTCAGTGGTTTCGCCGCCGGCTGCGCAAGTGCAAGGACCTGAGTTCAATCCCTAGTACCAAAAAAAAAAAAAAAAAAAAATAGAATAGGTAACTGGTTGGCCAAGAGAACCCCTTTATTTAGCGATTCAGATAGGATGGTTTGGGTGGTAGCAAGTGCCATATTTGAGTGAGCCTGACGGAGCAGTGACATTCAACTGCCATCGATTTAAAGGTTTAAGAGAGTAGAACACAGGTGAGTGTGGTGGCACATGGCTATAGTCACAGCAGTCTGAAAGGCTGAAGCAGGAGGATCACAAGTTTGAGTTCAGGCAGGGTGATTTAGCAAGAAGTTGACTAAAGAAAAAATAAGTAAGTGGATATAGTTCAGCATGAAGGCCCTAGGTTCAATATCCTGTACCGCAAAAACAAAAACTGGAAAAACACAAAGTGCACTTTTTGCTTTTTCCTACTTTATACCTTCTACTCCAAAATTGACTGACAAAGGTGGATAGGGTCTGGGTTCCAATTTCTTTGAGTACATATATATATACATATGAGAAAATCAAAAGTATCATTTGCTTGCATTGTAAGTGACCATAAACACTTGTGTTTTGCTTTTTATTATTTACTTGTAATCTTAGTAGAATTATAAGATTGACCATCACTTTTTGAAACTTTGAAAACATTATGTATGGGTAAACTTTAAATTGATAAAAAGTTCTTATGTTTGTGATTTAATATGGTGGTAGAAAAATGTATTAAAATGTAAGTTGCAGCCAGGAATGATGGCACACACCTGTAATCCCAGGTACTGGGGAGGCCAGGATCACAGGTTAGAGCCCAGCCTGGACAACACAATGAGACCCCATCTCAAAACATAAACATGAGGCTGGGGATTTAGCTCAGTGGTTTTGCCGCCTGCTGCAAAGCTCGAGGACCCGAGTTCGATCTCTGGTACTAAAAAATAAATAAATAAATGTGAGCTCCGTAAGGGCCCCATTAACTGTTAAACTTCAGTATTTAGACAGTACCTGACAAGGTACTGGAAAAGGTTAGAACATACTACTGAGAGAGACTAGTCAGTGCTGTAAGAAGTTTGATAGTTGTTTTTAATAACTTTGTACATGTCAATATTGATAGGAAATCATGACTCTCAAGACAAATGAGCTATTCCAGGCAATGCAGAGAGCACAGGAGCTGGCTCAAAGACTGAAACAAGAACAAAGAATCCGAGAACTGGATCAAAAGGGACATGACACTTCCAGATTGGTTAAAAATCTTGGTGGTAATTAAGCAGAATTTTATTTGTAATACTTTTTGCAGATGATTTTAAATATTTGCCTATTTTTATTACAAATAATGCACCTGAATACACCTAACTAAATATTTTTAAAGGTATTTCAGATCTTAAACTAACTTTTAAAATAGTAGAAATTGCCTTAAAAGTAGAATGTTATATTTTTCACATTATAGTAATCCTGTGACACAGGTAAAAGGTGCACTTTCTCATTTTTATTAAGAAAATAATTACTAAGTTATCTTCCTAAATTTAGTGAAGGATAAGAATACAAGCAACTTTTTGCAGGAAAATTTATGCTAATCTTTCTTAATGTTTATTGTAGTACTGATTCTGATTAAATTGAGTCTTGGGTTTACTTATTGCTATACATAATTCTTTAAAAGAATTTTTTTGCAGTGCTGAGAATTGAACCCAGGACCCTCATGTGTGCTAGACAGATGTTACCATTTAGCTGAATCCCCAACTCCTTATACCCAATTTCTATTACTAATAATCCTGGAGTGCTGTTTTGAGATAATGTATTTCTCCTTGCCAGTTGATAAGGTACATGTGGAATATAATGCATCCACTAACATTTCAAATTCAAGATATGACTTTGATGAAGCTGGTGGTAAAACAAATAGATATATCAGTTCTACTACGACTTCTCCCAAAAAGGACACCGGTGTGCAAACAGGTATTCACATAGTAATTCTTTTTTTTTTTTTTTTTGGGGGTACCAGGGATTGAACTCAGGACCTTGAGCTTGTAAGGCAGGTGGCATAACCACTGAGCTAAATCCCTGGCTTGTAGTAATTCTGATTAGATTTTAAATTTGGAAATTAAAGTCACAAAGCAATTAGCATGATGTTCCACTTAAAATTTAAAAGTTAAAGAAATTTGAAGTTTTAAAGAAAATAAATCATCTGTTTTTAATTTTCATAGGCTTTAAGATATAAATCACTATAAAATGTACCCTTTTAAAGGGTAAAATTCAGTTTAGGATATTCATACTTGTGCATTTTGTAACCACAATCAATTCTAGAAACTTTTCATCACTCAGAAGAAACCTAGTAACCCATTAGCCATTTTCTATTTCCCCTTTCTTCTCCAATTCATGTTCTGTCTTGGAATATTTACCTATTCTGGATATTTTGTGTAAATGGAATACTGCCATATGTGGCCTTTTATCTCTGGCTTCTCTGACTTCAGCATGCTGTTCTAAGGTTCATTCTTGATGTAGTATAAATTCTCTTATTAGTATTTGATTCCTTTTTATTGTTGAATAATATCCCACATTTTGTTTGTTCATGGACATTTACTTCCAAGTTATATGCTGCTACGAATACTCATACATATTTGCAGTTCTCTTGGGAGAATTGGTGAGTTGGTAACTTTAATTTTGAGGAACTACCAAACTATCCTCCAAAACAACTGTATCATTTTACATTCCCACAAATACTGTTTGAGGTTGCTGATTTCTCCATCTCCTTGCCAACAGAGGTTTTTAAGACGGTATCTTATGTGGTGTTGATTTACATTTTCCTAGTAACTGATAATATTGAGCTTCTTTATATGTGCAAATGGTTTTAAGCTTTTCCTAAGGTAATACGGCAATATCTATGTTGGGTATCATTATAATAGGTCTCTGTGCTTATTTTTTTTTTTTTGCACAAATGTACTGTTTTCTTTTTATTAGAAAAAAGGGGGCAGGGTTGGGATTTATATATCAAAGTCAGCGGAATTTTCATGTTTCACAATTTTGTCGCTAGACATATCCCCAAATTCCTTCAATCCATTTGGGAAGTTTTTAGCCCTTCCCATTTTTAGAAATTTTTCATAGCATAGGAGTAGAATCTGGCTACATTGCCCAAGCTGGTCTCAAACTTTTTTTTTTTGGTACTAGGGAATCAAACTCGGGTCCTTGTGCCTGCGCAGCAGGCAGCGAAACCACTGAGCTTAATTCCCGGCCCCTGGTCTGAAACTTTTGGGCTCATTTGATCCTGCCTTGACTTTCTGAGTAGCGGGGACTACTGGCATACATACTCTACTGCACTCAGCTTTTCTTTCTTTTAAATAACTTCATTATCAGTTGACCTTGTCAAAACTTGTGGCTCTTGGGGATATGATAGTAACTTAGAAACAAAAACCAATTTCATCAGCCATAAGTTAGGAAATAATATTGTTCACTCTGTAGTTGGGTAGCCTCAAATTCAAAATGTCTTAAGGAAATCCTAACATTCCACTGCTTTCTGCCAGTTAGTTTTGGGCTTTATGTCAATAAAACACCAGATTAGCCACATCATGTGAAGTGGATGGTGATAGTGGCTATATAGCATTGTGGATCTGCTTGGTGCTACTGAAATACATGCTTCAAAATTATTAAAATGGAAGTTTTGGAGAAAATGGAACCTTTGTATACGACTGGTTGAAATGTAAAATGGTGCAGCTGCTATAGAAAACAGTATGGCCTTTCTTTAAAAAATTAAAAATAGAATTACCATATCATCCAGCAATTATATAATGGTATATATCCCAAAGTACTAAGTAAGATCTCAAAGATATACTTGGACACCTGTGTTTACAGCAACAACATTTACAAACTCATAGGTGGAAGCAATCTGTCCGTACAGATAAAATGTGGTATGTACTAATCAATGAAATACTAGCATTATGAAGTTCTCTTATGTACAACATGGATGACCTTTGAGTACTTACTCTATGCTAAGTGAATAAGCAAGTCACAAAGCAAACAGAACTCCATTTATCTGAGGTTTCTACAATAAGTCAGTTTATAAAGACACAAAGTAGAATGGTGGTTTCCAGCAGAGGGGGGAGGGGAATGGGGAGTTAGCTGTTAAATAGGTATATAGTTTCACTTCTGAAGTCTTAAGAGGGTGGTAACTAATGAAATTATTTAATGACTTTAGTATAAAATGATTAAAATTGTAGCATATACACTTTTTAAAAAAATAATCATTTGAAACTTTTTTTAGATGACTTAAATACAGGAATATTCACCAGTACAGAACCACACTGTGGACCAATAATAGAGACGGAAGTTATATATTGTTCATCTCCCGAGATTTCTGTAGAATTTAATGGTCAGTTTAACAAAGACAAGCAAGAACTTGGTGAGGATAAAGGAGCCAACTTAGAAAAAGAAAACAATTGGTATGACCAGTGTAATTACTTCATAAGAACAGAGAAGAAACAAATACAACATACAAAGAAATGTCCTAAAAGGCCTGATTGGAATATAAATAAGCCTCTCAAAAGGTATGTTCCAGCATCAGAAAAGTACCCTAAACAGCTTCAAAAGCAGAGAGAAGAAAAGAAGGTAAGGCGGCAGATGGAACTGCTTCATTTGGTAGAGAGAAATAATCCTGAACACCTCTGTCAAAATAGAAGCACTTCGCCAGAAGTTCTTCAGTCATTCCATCAAGAAACTGAGTCAAAGATCGGGTGGCATCTTTTCAAAAAGGTAAAGCTCTTATTTTAAAGCATGTATTGACATTTCTAAATTTTTTTTTTTTTTTTTGGTACCGGGGATTGAACTTGGGACCTTGTGGTGGCGAGGTGGGCGGTGGAACCACTGAACTAAATCCTGGCCCTGACATTTCTAAATTTAAGCCAAAATTCTCTACATACATGTTTTGACAAGGCCATTCTTCAAGAGTTAACAGCAAACCATAGCCTGTGGGCAAATCCACTTTGCAGCCCATTTCTGTAAATAAAGTTTTATAGCTATGCCTAATCATAATCATTTATGAATTAACTATGACTGGCTTTATACTGTACCACCATAGATGAGTAGATACAGCAGAGACCACATGGCCCAAAAAGCTGACAATGTGTCATGTGTGGCCCTTTACAGAGTTTGCACTTCTCTAAATAGCCATTCAAAACCCTTATTTATAGTCAGTGAAATTGCAAATTATGGTCTGACTGGAAAAATACTAAATCACTCGATTCTACTACCTAGTAAGTTACTCAAATATTGTCCTCAGATTATTTGAACAAGTAACCATTAAAAGTACCTGAGGACATTGTGGAAATGTAAAATACACCTATTTTTATGTTTCCGTCTTTTAGGAAGAACCATCTCTGAAAATTCATTCATTCAGCAAGGAAAGGTATGTGGATTATTTCTATAGCTACTTGGTACATTCTGTGTGGAACAAGAGCTGCAAAACATGTGCTCAAACATCAAGGTGAGATTAGACACATAGTGGATGAAGACAGTAAAATGAAAGGGTATGGCTTCTTGGTGAAGGTACATGTTTAAGGGGATATAGCATTTTAGCTAGACTAGGCCTAAGTAGGAATGTGGGTGACATTTTCTATTAGATTTAACTGTTGATTTTCCAAGTGCATCTACAATGGAGTAGGCACTCTACTTGAGGCCGGTGGGGCGGGGGAGTGAATAAGGACAATGAGAAATTCAGTTAAGCAGTGGGAGATTTAGAACTATTAAAATTTAAATTTTTGTCTTACATGTATAAACCAGTAGTTTAGAGTTGCCTCAGAATGTCACTTATAGCAAATTTAGTTAAGATGATGAAGACATTATGGTGAATTATCTAAGGAGAAACATGAAGCTTAAACCCAGCTAACACTGATCTTTAGGATCTATTTTTTTCCATTAGACTAGAGTACATATATCCTTAGCCTAGCACTAGTAAAATCTCAAATTAATTTTTCTGTTGCCCTGTCGTAGGAAATTAGAGGCTTTGGGCTAGTATACATGATGTTCCTAAAAATGGTACAGGTGTGTTTCAAATAAGTCGAAATGTGATTAAAGAGATGTGTTTAATCTAAAATACACAATTTTTTTTTGGTACCGGGGATCGAACTCAGGACCTTGTGCTTGCAAGGGAGGTAGCAGTGCCACTGAGCTAAATCCTTGGCTCACAGTTTCTTATTAAAGATTCTCAAGACTGTAATTATACTTTTTTAAAAATAGGTTTCAGTCATCATCACCAGTTCCACCTACGAAAAGCAGAACACAACAGACTCAGACTACTGCATTACACCTACCACTAAAAAATAGTAGCTATGAAAGAGAGAGTCTGATGCTAGGCAGTAGTCAAACAGAATTATCAGCTGGGATGCCTGAATTGCCCCATTTTATTCCCTACGTTCGAACAAATGAGATTTATTACCTGGATCCAGATGCACCATTGTCTAGGCCTTCAACTGAGGACCCTCAGTACCAAAATAATTCTTGTGGTAAGTAACCATGTATTCTTTCTGAAAAAATTGAAGATCAGTGTGACCCCTCCCCTCCAACCCTAATTTTATTTGTAAGTGACCCCTGCACTTAGTTCTAAAAAGTATCATATAAGGTACACCTTATATCATCATTAGAAATATATGTGACTTTTTTAGTTTTATCTTGCTTTAGATTGTGACCAAGAACAACAGCTGTGCAACTCTGACCTTGTCAAGGATCCACTTCTTAATCCTAACTTGCTGAAAAACAGGGATCAACAGCAAGCAATCCTTAAGGGACTGTCAGAATTGAGACAGGTATGAGTTTTCCATCAAATCTAGACATGACTATTCAGTGTGGAATGGGGGGAACTGGCTGTTTTATGTGACTTACATCCCAGTTTTTAAGAACAAGTACTTCAGTTAAATGGAAATAAAATGGAACTTTCCTCAAATTTGCTTTCACCTTACCATCTTTAAAAATGTCTTTCAGTATAAAATCATGAGACAGTTTTATTGAATAAAAATGCATACATTTAAATGGCAAAACATGATCAGTAATGCCCAGTTACGCCCTAAAAGTTTTTAACCAGTGTGGTCTACAGTTCTTTAAAATGTATGTGTTGGCAGTTTAGAACAGAACATTGTCTGTCCCAAAGAATAATTATAATTTTGAAACTATATGCATAACTTTACTCGCTAGACTTTTTCTCCCAGTCCAGTTTTTTTGGTCTCATAACTTTGTTCTTATCAGATTATTATAACTTGGCTGCATCCATTAAAACCTATCCCTGAGCTTTTGACTCATGTGTTCTTTTCACATCCACTCATTTACCAATGCCAAAAAGTTGGTTCAGGTGTTGCTTTCCTTTTATACTGCTAAAAACCACCCTACTCTGGCCCATTTACTCATTCGAAGACAAATTAAAATGAGGTTGTGTGCCAGCTCTGGTTACAGATAACAGGAGATTCATATAACTCAGCCTTGGTAACTCACAAAAGAGCTCCAAAGGCGAGAGGAAGGAGTATAATGTACATTCACCAAACCAGTATACCCTTGCCTTATTTCAGCAGAGCTCTTACATTAGCCACTAAGATTAGTGCTGTCACAATAAACAATGGACTTTAAGGAAGTCTTCAGTATCTCATCCCCATTTTAAGAGCACTTGGGAGTGGAATTTCATCTTGAAGCCTCATCATTAGGGAAGGTTTTTTTTTTTTTTTCCATTATGGAGGTTTTTAAAAGTCATCCCTACTGGTAAAAACAATCTTACAAGGGGCCAGGGATTTAGCTCAGTGGTTTTGCCACCTGCTGTGCAAGCGCAAGGACCCGAGTTCGATCCCCGGGTCCCCCCCCCCCAAATCTTACATATAATACCTATGTAACATCCAAATTAGGTCTAGTACAAAAAAATCACCAAAAAATTCCAGACCAAGCTTCAGCTATGGCCAACTAGTTAATAACAGTTCTATCCTGAGTTAAATACTAACAGGACAAGAATATAAGGAATTTCCAATTTGGCTACTGTATATACTTTACTAATATATCAATGTGATTTCAGGGCCTTCTCCAGAAGCAAAAGGAGTTGGAAACTAATCTCATGCCTTTAGCTGCAAATCAAGAAAAGAATTTTAATTCATTTAAAATTTAGAAAGCAATTTTTGTCTTCCAAATGATAAAATGTGCTCATTGATCAGCTGTGTTCAAAGCCTAGTTTTATTTTTCAAATGCTCATTAAAAACTTGTACATTACATAGTAAAATGCTTTTTTCTTAATAAAACATTTTTAAAAAAAGTAACGTAAAAAATTTTTTCTGCTGTCTGGGTGTTTATAAAGTCCTATAAAAAAAAATTCTACTTACCTTAATAAAGCCTGAATTTCCTTGTTAACATCGTTCTTCCATACCTTTTATGTAGATGACTAACACCAATCATGCATTTCGTTTCATAAAAAGTTCTTCTGCTGTGCTACATCTATGCTCTTACTAAAAATAATCCAAATTCAGTTTAGGCTCCTGTAGGAGTTTTTCATTTCTCTAAAATCTGTTTTTATTTTACTATAGAAAATGCAACTTTCAAAAGCATAAAAGTTAACTTTAGTAAAGAGAGGCGATAGATATGGGTTAGTAAGGGTTTGAAATTATCTCCACCTTACATTTTATGCGTGAATTCACTATAGCACTAAATTGCTGAGTAAAGGGTAAATAAGACCACTCAAAAATATACATCTAAGACTACAAGTTCCAAATTGTTTAATGCCTTTGATAACAACAGAAGCCCCATGTTTTGAAACTGATTTGGTCAATTATTACAGAAGCACTGAAAATCATAATTATCAAATACTCTCAAAAAGTTGATCAAAACTGAAATAAGGTGAATTTTTACATGTCTAAGCCTATAAGATTAAAAAATAATGCTGCTTGCTATTAAGTCCTATGTACATAAGTTTTTACCTAAATGAAACGGTATTGTTAGAAACATCTTGCGGTACAGAGCCAAACTCCTATAAATATTAACATCACTGGCTTATACCTGTGTAAAACATTATACAAAAGCTTAAATCAAAATAGTTTGTATTATCCAACATTACAGGAAAAAAAGTAAAACCACTGCTTTTACCATCTTTCTATAAACACCTAATTTTACATATAAAACAGGCTTCAATTTGAAGCTCAAGTACAGGTAACAGACAAATGTAGAACTTAAAAAGTGCCACCATGAGATAATTCAAGTACAATATGTTAGAAATATATATATATTTATTTGTTTTCAGATGTTTTAACTGTTACAGGCCATCATGATTTAAATAAGAGAAAAACATTTCAGAAAGGATAAGAAACCTTGTGTTTAGAGAATATAAACTGTAAATTCACTGTTAAACAGAAGAGGTCCACAACAACCAAAGTTACTGTATCTTTTTTCAACATGGCCTGGAAGAATCATTTTTTTCTCCAATCTAATGGAGATGTACATTGAGTATAAGCAGATAAAAAGGAATTTTCATTTTCTTCAGTCTGACTTGATGAAAGGGGATATGATGTCCCCAGAAATGTCTGATGAGTGAGAACATTAAAATGACTAAACTGATGGGACATATTTAATGGACTCTGAGAAACCTGAAAGACGCTATACAAATCTTGCTCTGCTGAATTGCTGTTCTCTCCTTCAGGACAGACTCTATCAACAGAAGTGCTCTCTTCAGAATCAATTTGGGAAGTCTTATCTTCTAATAAACTTTTTTGCACGTCAAGAGACGATTGCAACCCAATTTGAGTATTCTTTTTTTGATTTCTTCCACTTGATCCTGTGTTTTCTTTCGCCAATATTTCTGAATGAGAATTGCTGCATACTTCTATATGTGAGATCTCATCCCCTGAATCCAGAGACATATCCTCTTCATCCTTTTCATCGTTTTCTAAAAGAGCTACATTTAAAAAACAAAAAGTCCTCCTCTATTGAAATACACAGTTTATTTAAGTTTTAAAATTATACACTACTCACACAATATAACGCTTCAGGGTCAGCAAGTCCACAATCCCTTAAAGCTTGGTCTTCTGCCACAAGTTCACTTAGTCACAACACTCACACTAGGTGTGAATGTCCATACAATCCGATGCTAAAAGCTTCTGCGAAATGTGTTCACGTTTAATGTTGGGAAATCCCAACTCCCAGCTCCAAAGGGGTTAATGTCAAAACAGCATCTAAAGTTATACGGTAATTCAGTATTTGACAAGACAAATATAAAATAAAATTTCTGACATCTAGCTTCACTGGGTTACTAAATGGGTTAGCTGTATCTAATGTTTGATCATCTCTGCTTTTAACTGAAAACAGTAGTACATCTTTCATTTTACACAGATTTGAAACCAAAGCAGAGGCCATCTCACAAAAGACTGAGGCTATAATAGCCCTACTGTATTATAATTAAATTGCTTTATAAATCAGATCTAGTGGCCCAATGCTGAATCTCAATAACCAGTTTCCTACTTTTTTCTTAATAAAACCCCTTTGTTGGACAACAGTCAGTGAAGCTTACATACTCTCAGAAAATGCATAATCCATAGTATTAGTCCATAGTATAAACAAATGCATACAGCAATATATAATAACTAAAACCTTGTCTTGATTACAATGTGATAGATGAATATATCTAGTGCATTTTAATCTCAGAATGATAAATGCCTTGAAACTAACCCTAAGGTTTATACTGAGGTGAGCAGCTTCAAAATAGGCACTTCATTATTTGATAACAGACAAAAACATTCCTTTTTTTCTGTCTTAAATGAAAAAAACTACTGAAAAGTTACCTGACTGTGACTCAAGATTCTCATTAACACCAAGGAACGGAAGGCTTTCTTCTGCAATTGAGTTGTGATAGCCCACAAGATTTTTAAAGTTCTGCATAAAGTCTTCAGCAGTTGCAACTACTATTCCATTATCTGTATAACTGGAAAGCATCTTGATATTCTTCTCTAAATTAAAAAAAACAGGTTCATGATAAAGCACTTGAAAGTAGACATGGACAAATAATAATGCCTGACTCCTAGCCTCAACAAAATCCTTTTCTACTCATGTTCAGAATTAGAGCTTAACAGTTCTAATTCATTCATTCATATTTCTGTGTTCATAGCAGAAAGCTTAAGAGTGTTCTCTTTACCTGTTAAAAAGACTATGTGTCGTTGCTGTATGTTCTGAGCCTGAAGTCTGATAAGGCAATCCAGTTCTGGAGCATTTCGAGTTTGTGAATCACAACTGTGGTATGACAAAATTTCAACCAGATGTTTCTTCTGATAGACATTCAGAAGTGTCAACAGACTTAGAGCTTTACCATTCAACCTGAAATTAGCCAGAGTTCAGTATCTGTATCTACACTAAAATTTAATATGAAAATTTTTGCTTCAGATTAAAACCACTAATTCTCAATTGAGGCAACTAATGATTACATTGCTCAGTTCAGTGTCTGACACAGGGATGCTTCATAAAGAATAGCCCTTAAGTAAGATGGAGGGATGAGGGGAGATATGTGTCAAAGCTTGAAGGTAAGCTACTCAGTTTATGCTAAAATTTTAACCAATCATTCTACTTGCTAATATGGTTTTTAGTTTTATTAATTTTGAATTTTAATGAAGGACTATCAACAAATACACAATTCAGCTATTTCTCTAACACATGGCAACGAGTGACAAATTACTGGGTATTTAGGAAATGAAGGTTCTTCTAACTCAAGACAAGTTACACTTCTGGGTCTCAGTATTTCTTATATAAAGACAGTAATACAAATTAAGATTTCCTGTATGTCTACTTCACAGGCTTTAAAGATGACTAAGTTTTTAAAAAGTAAATTGCCGGGGTTAGTCATGCCTGTAATACCAGTTACCTGGGAGAATGAGGCAGGAGGATCATGAGTTTGAGGCCAGTCTGGGCAATTTACCAAGACTTTCTCTTAAAATAAAAAGGGATAGGAAGTAGCTCAGGGATGGACTATCCTAGGTTTGATCTCCATTATTACAAACAAAGAGAAAAAAATAAAGGTATTGCTACAAAGACCTAAACACTTTGAAATTATTTAAACCTGAATTTCCTGCCAAGTACCATGGAATGTCAACAATTACAAGAAATAAATGTTCTATGGTCTAAGTTTAGGAAGTGCTGATTGATACAATATAAAACATCATTCTCAACTAGAGTTTCTGAAATCCTTTAATGTATAAATTATCTTTTATGGACTTGCTACTAGGATATAATATCTCAGACTCATCAGATCACTATGACTGTGGAGCCTCTCAAGTGACTAGTTCTCTGAGAAACTCAAATCAGGGATGTTAGAAATAACACAATAAATGAATCTCATCACAAATCTGCTCATAAGGTTGAGACTAACCCTTGTGCAAATATATGTGACTTAGCTATCTAAGGTAGTTATTCCGAGAGGGCTTGATCTGGTTGTCATACAGTTTTTTAAAAAGGCATAGTGGTGGCACACGCATATAATGCCAACACTCTGGAAGGCTGGGGCAGGATAACTGCAGGTTTGAGCCAGCCTGAGCAATTTAGCAACTTAGTCTCAAAAAATAAAAAGGGTTCAGTATGTAGCTCTGTAAATTCCCAAGTACCACAAGCAAGCAAGCAAATAAATTCTGGTTAGTCTACTCACAACAGATTAAGCCAATTTTACCTATACACATAGCACAGAACTTCACCAAACATCTATTTATCACGTCATCTTAAAAAGACTAATAATTCAGTATTTATACTATTATACCTGGCTATGGACACCTGTAAAAACAGCAATGTCCATAATCTACAAACATGGCTAAGAGAAAAATTTTTGTGAATACTGTGTTAAAATCAACAACCACTGGGCCGGGGATTTAGCTCAGTGAGTGGTTCTGGAGCCTACCTTGCAAGCAGCACAAGGTCCCGAGTTCAATCCATGGTACCAAAAAAAACAAAAAAACAAACAACCATTATAGAGTTATTTTCCAAATCTTACCTGCCCAGTTCCTTTAGCCTTTTCTGAAATTTACAGTGCACTTTCCACTGCCATTTGCCTTCTGGAGTACTAAGTTCTTCAAGGAATGTCAAAAAAATTTTAAGGCTCTCTGTTAGAGATAATGAAGTTCAATAAGTAACAATCCTCCACACCTGAATTATTAAAGTGTTCATATTACATAGAAACTCCTACTTTCCTATGTACTATTTTCATTCTCTTTTACCTTCCACTAAAGGGAAAGACAGCTCTGAAAATGTATCTGAACATTAAAAAAATACTGATGACAACAATACTAATAACACCTCAGGAAAAGATGTAAATGTACTAGTTATCTGTGGCTGGCAGAATAAATAGATAATACATTAAAAAGTACCAGTTGCTAGTTTTAGTTTTCTAACAACAGGGGTGGGTGGGAGGGGGGACATATGCTCAAAAGAATAATCTTACCAATTGTGACAACCTCTGGATTTAGAATTGACTCATCAGATACAATAAAGCCTCCAGATACAAATAACTCATTGTATGTATGATTTTTAACATCATCCAGGCTATCAACACCAGCAAAACTAACACAGGGGAGGGTCTTTAAAGTCACCAAGCCAGGTACCTATTAAAAGCCAAAATAAAATAGAAATAAAGATGGATAAAGAAATGAACTGGAACTTGTATGAAGTAAACTCCAAGAAAAGTCCAACAAAAATGCCATTAGGCTCATCCAGATTAGTGCATTCACCTGGAAAGTCATACAAAAATACTGCTTCTGGGCCGGGGATTTAGCCCAGTGGTGCCACCGCCTGCCTGGCAAGTACAAGGTCCAGAGTTCGACCCCCAGTACCAAAAAAATAAAGAAATTAATAATAATAATAATAATACTCTCTAGATTATTTCCCAATACATGAACCAACCAACGTTTACGTACTAGAGAACCTATGATGAACAAAAGTACATTAAGGACACAATTTTATCTTTAAAGTTTATTTTAAAAACTTCAGCATCAGATTAAAAAATGTTTTAAAAATCAAAATAAGTAGTGAATTTGACTTAACATTCTACCTTGTGAATGAAACCTGCAATGTCTTCATTTTGAATAATAATCAATAGTTTATCTAATTTTGATCTTCTTTCCAAAAACTGTTCCGGGTGACATTCTGTATTGCCTAATTTGATAAGATATTCCTATTAAAGAAAAACAACTAAATCAGCATTAAAAGGCTTTTTTGCAAATATCAATTTAACACTAGAAATTGCAACATAAAGTGATAAACTTAACTAGGAAACTTAACTATGCAAATAGGAGACCTCAGTGCTCCCCACTCTTAACAGAAGAGTAACAAAAAGGTCAGAGCTTCACAAATCACTTTCATAATGTTAAGAGTGCTATACAATTAAATCCAAGTAAATGCCAGTGTGAAGTGCCAAAACTGTAAGAACAATGGATTAGCCCAAATTCTTCAGCCAGTTTTTAGTTACGGGAAACCCAGAGCCCAATCATTAACTACTCCACTCCTTCATTCTCTTCTTCCTTTCCTTAAGCAGACCTTTAGTTATTTGCAACAATATTACTGGAATACTCTTCAGAGTCACAAAAAACTTCTATGACGACTGAAGATCATTTAATTCACAACAGCTCAAGAAGTGTTCATATAGAGCCTTAGTATGTACAATGGTATTCACACTAATTAGCTATTTGTCAAGTTTATATCTTCAAACAAAGCCAACTGTCCCATCTAACACCTCCCTCCATGCTAGCGACATGGTACTATCTTTCACAAGACATAGGCAGTTAAGTCTATGAAGAGTTCCTTTTGCCCTTTGCTTGCTGGTAGAATTCCTGAACCCTGAAGCAAACTGCAGGATCCTGGAAGTCACATTCCTCATTTCACAGATACAGGAGATTAATTTTCTAAAGGTCAGCACTACTGGTCAGATAGCCACAATGAAAGCCCAGCATGCTTGACAAGCTAGCTACTGTTTTTCAAGAGCACCCTAAAGTGTTACATCCAACGAGGACATTTCTGTATATAAATCCCTAAATTAAAGCAGCATATTCTACAATGATTTTGCTCTAATCTCTGAAGCTTCTGGGGATCTCAGACTAGCTTAGTTAATGAAAAGGTAAATTACTGTCTGACAGCCCCTACTTGTGATTTTGGTCTTTTTACATTAAGAAGCTTCAAGTGCAATTTATCTTAGATAAGACTGTTTAATTCTTCTAAGCAGTACCCACTGGAAATTTTCCAGCAAAAATGTTATGACTATCAAAATCTAAACTTCATAATAACTTCTGTAGTCAAAATATTTGTTACAGTATGAATTAAAGTTCCAATCTGATTTCTACCAAATTTGTAATATAAAGAAGTCATTATTCTTTATTAAGTAATGACAGAAATGACTTGTTCCTATGTTAGAATGAATTCAAAGCACCATTCATAAGGAAATGTATTTCCTATTCCCTTCAATATAAATGTCACACAGGTATTACATTTTTAAAAGATGGAGGGAGGTGCAGTTAATGCTAAGCACATCAGAAGTCTGCCCAACCTTTCTCACCCAGCCCTCATTAATGTGGTGCTGTTCCCCCAAAGAGTTCTGTGTTTAGAAACATGTTTGAAATATTTTTGTTCAGAAGTTCTACATTCTCTCATACAGGGCAAAAATACAACCAAGTCTTATTTCCTCTTCCCAGAAAACCGGAAGACTCAGTTAGGAAGCACAACTGAGTACTCTGAATCCTCTTTCATTCCGATGCTTTTCAGGTCCTTGTTGAGCACCCAACTCATGACACACATAGACATCAGAGATCCCCAAAGACACATAAGGGTTAGTCACCTGTCAGTAGTACTGAGTTTCTGGGCCACTCTGGGTTGTAAGTTACTAATTTATAGTCCCTCTGTTTCCTCTAACAAAACAGGAAGACACTAGTCATAATAAGTAAATTCCATAAATGGGAACAAGTGTCTATTTCAAAAGCCTAGGCACTCCCTTAAGGAATTAAAATCTTGTTATTTGGTGAGCACTAATTAATAATACTAAACCACTGATATAATTGTTCCAATGTGTTGTAACTTACATGTAAATTATGTTAGCAAATTTTACATATCTATATCTTAATACACAAAGAGGTGGGTGTTTAGAATAAACACTTAAAATGTTAAGTCTACTCTATATCTTTGACAGAAAAAAATGCAGTGAGGAATCTTTCATGACTAGGGAGTTTTTCAGGGTCACTGAGTGTTTTTTTAAATCAATTAAAGCCACAGGGAGTCATGACAGGTTATCAAGAAACACTGCAAGAATGTATCATTAGGCCTTCCCTGGACAGTTTATTTGACTCACAACAACTTACTTTACCTTTTCTTATTTTGTTTCCCTTCATTAAAAACCCAAGTAAGCAACATTTAAAATCTCTACACTTTAAGGATATTTGGAGTATTACAGAGACTGATTTTTCTTCTTTTGCAGTGCTAAGGATCAAACCCAGGGCCTTCTACATGCTGGGCAAGCACTGTATCACTGAGCTACATACCCTGCCCCTTGCAGTATATATATACAAATGCTCTTAAAAATTGTACATAAGACTCTAAATTCTGATATATTTAGATCACAAGTTCTGAATTCAACTTACTAATCTATTTTAATTACTAAATTATGAAAATAAACAGTGAACTTTAAAAAAAACAAACTCCATTTTAAAGAGGTCAGGCCAACAAGACAAGCTTATACAGCATTACTATTACATTTTTGTTTAGTTACCTTTATTTCTTTACAGAGCATACTCTCTTCTTCTTCATGAATATAAAATTTCACAGTATTTTTCTGGACATCTTTCATGATTTTAACCAAACTGTTAAATACTTCAGGTTCTAACTGGCTTATGAAATTTGAAAGAGCAGGTTGGGCAGAAATGTTTACATCATTGGGTGATTGTGTTTCCTTTTCTTCTGGTTCCCGGGCAGAATCACCAGGTACTGTATGATCAGAAGTCACCATTAACTCAGTAGCATGGTGTGGCTGGTTCATTTCTCCTTCGGTTAAACCCAACGTTGAAGAGGAATGCTGTTCTTGAGAGTTGGCATCTTTCAAAGCATCACTACAAACTGGCTCAAGGAGGTGTTTATTGTTGTAGTCGCTTGAGGAAACTGATACAACATGCCTTTCAAGAGGATTCAATGTCTTTGTAGTACCAGAATCATTAGAATTAACTGGTGGCAAATTCCCACCCTTGTAAGATGCTTTAATAATAACAGTGTTTAGCTTTTCATGCACACCATCTACAAATTCCTGTATACCAGCTTTGGAAGTCTCAGAATATATGAACTTAGAAAGCCGTTTTAACTTCTCTTGTGTTGAAAACATAGGTGTAGGAATTTTACTGATATATAAAACATTGTTTTGCTTCAAAATCTCTTCTATCTTCCTAGAAAAGAGACTGTACTCTCCTAACACTGTTCTCTCTGTAGATTCACTCACTGTAGACGGCTCTGCTGACGCACACTGCTCTTCCATTGTCACCATCTGACCTGTCAATACATCATCCTCAGTGGTGCCCTTTAGTGTGTCTGTAAATGGAGAGGATGGAAACTGGTAATCAGAACTTCTCTGTCTACTTATTACCCGGGGGTCGTTAGGATGGGCCTCCTGGGGTGGCAGACACACCAGTTGTTCATCTGGTGATTTCATACCTATACAGGAAGAGTTATTATTATAAAAGCAATCCAGAAATCAACATTTGAAAACAAACTTTTAAATCACACACAAAAAAGATGAAGTATATATTAAGAACTAAATAAGGCATCAGAAAGTAAAATAGAAATTGCAACTACTGGTGTGAACCGTTTTTCCTATAGGCCTTACTGAGGCTAGTCTTTGGATTTCGGTAGGCAGATTAACAACATTGAATATTAATTTCTTTGTTTTCTTTTCAAAGTGTTCAGCAGAGCCTATGTGATATCAACACAAGTCATTGGTTCTTTTTGGTTCCTTACCATTCTGTACATCTGACTTTAGCAGATACATTTTAAACAGGGTACTCAGTTACATCAGCTTATTCAACTACTATATTCTTTATTGGTAATGTCAACTACGGTAACACTCCCTAGAGAACTGTGTACAAGGCAGGCGAAAAAGTGCAAAACAGAAACGCTGTGGGAATAACTGCCAAGCATTTAGGATTTAGGATAATCTGTTTTCAGAATTTTTCACTTGTGGGGTTGCCTGTGAATTTCCTGCAATGTTAGGAAAATGTTAGTTCATTGTATCAGAAAAAAAGTTCAACAAGACAAGAAGAGAATATATTTCATAGCAGTATTAAAAATATTACTTTTAGGGCCAGGGATTTAGCTCAATGGTTCCGCCACCTGCCTCAAAAGCACAAGGTCCTGAGTTCGATCCCTGGTACCAAAATAAAAAAAATAATAATACTTTTAACTGCACTTTCATAAGTGTTTCATTTGTTTGGAAAACAATTCCAAGGTGTTGGGAGCAATGCTACATAATTCTAGGGAAAAATCATTTGGTTAGCCTAGTTCTACAGCCTAGCTACAGAGTACCTCCAGCTTGGCCTCCAGTCACAACTGAGACTTCAGTGATCCAGTGATGCTGTGATTCTCCAGGACAAGAAACATCCTGGGAGAACAAACATCTGCTCAGTTCCTCATTGTTCTTGGACTGATTAACATCTTGTTTACCCAAGATGTACTGAACTCTCTGCAAGCCTTTTGTTACAACTTGTTTATCCCAATGTGAACTACTGAACTCTCTGCAAGTCATTTGTTACAAGTGTTTCTCCCGATGTACTGAACTCTCTGCAAGTCATTTGTTACGTTTGTTTCTCCCGATGTACTGAATAAAAGGTGCGGTAAGCTGGGGGCTTTTGTCTTTGCTGCCCAGAGCAGCACTGATCAGACCCAAAGCTCAGCTTCTTCTCAGTGTCATTTTTCTACCTTTCCTGTAATTCGCGGTGTGCTGCCGTGGCTCGCAGGAGGACCAGGACTCACTGCAGAGGTTCTGGTAACGTCCCCTTCCCCTGTTCCCTACACCAAGGGAAATAGGGACAGCTACTATCTCATTTATCTGCTCAGGATAAAAAGAGCTTTCAGTTAGCTGATGACAATGAGACGACAACTTTTGACTCTACAACCAGAGCAATCCACAAAATCATACTTTGCCCCACAAATATTAAATTCAAACATGGTATGTTTTCAAAACTTTTCAAAACAAGTATCCTAAATCGATCTTAAGAAATGAGAAAATATATTTAACGTCAATTTACAATAATGTGTTTTAGGAAAAGAAAACAACTGATCTTTGCATAGGAGACCATTTCACACAAATTTACCTTTTAAGAAATTTCTAATTTTCCTTAAATCTTAGCCAACTGCTGCTATAATACAGGAAATAGTCCCTGTAAATCAGAAAATCTCATTAAAGAGTTCCAAGCCCACAGTTCTTTAGAGATACGGCAATTTCCTTAATTCAAGTTTACACTCAGGTGTACCGGCACGCTCTCTACACAAAATTCAGTTTCAATTTCCCCACACCCACACTTTTCTAAAGATTTAAACAGTCTCACTCAGCACTAATTAGCCTGTAACATTCTCTACCAATCCTGATGGTTACTGGAAACCACTCCATGTACTGACTTCAGTAAGGATACTTGTTAGTAAAGATCACAGGCCCACAGGTAGAAGTGAGAAGGGAAACAAAGTATCCATCTTGTAGAGAGATAAGAATTACAACTGTATAAAACTGATCAAACAAAATTCAAGCTTCTGTAAGATTTTTCAAGAACATTCAAGGTCCTCCTTAAAGCTACAATATTAAGACAGAGTTCAGTACACACGTAAAATATCTGGAAGGTTGACCCATTTGAGAGAAAACTAGTATCTTTTTTACTTCTTGAATTATGTACCATTTGAAACACCTGATTTAGTCAAATAAAAAATGAACCATGTCTTATAAAACAAATGGGTTGAAGACTACCCATAATTTTAAAACTTTTAAATCATTATTTTACTAAATACCTGCTCCTAAAATTTGTAGCTCAACATCAGAACAATAAATTTCTTCTTGAAGGACTATGGATAAAGAGAATTTTTGTTAAACTTTTTAAACTTAAATCCCTATGGAGAATTTTCCAAATGACAAAACCCCTAAATCAAATCCCTTTCAAAAATGTAAGTAAACAGCATTTAATTTTACTTTAAGTAAATCTCTCTATCTGGTTTTAGGGTCAACAACTTTATTATTTTAAAAAATCTTCAGTAAATGACCTAAAAGACACAGACATGTCAATTCCATAATAATGAGTATTATTATAGCACTGTGATATTTTGACTTACAAATGAAAGGGGAGTAGTGAGTTCTCTAAAGAGGACATCATTCAGATTATCTACTCTTTCAGTTACAAAATATGAATATCTCAAATAAGAGGAATGGAGATGCTATGGAGCCTTGTGAAGCACAAACAAGATACTTAATATTCCTTTTTTTTTTGGTACGGGGGATCGAACTCGGAACCTTATGCTTGCTAGGCAGGCAACAGAACCACTTAGCTAAATCCCTGGCCCTTATACTTACTATTCCTAATGAGAAAGAATTACTGATAGATGAACAATTAACCACTTACCAGTCCAATTATTTAAATACAGGATGACCAAAAACTGCATATTTTTAAATTAATTTTTATAAGACAACTGGAAATATAAAAGCAGTAATTTTAACATATTTGTTCAATAGTGAATCAACTGGTTGAAATGACACCTTACCCTACTGACACTTGGGATAGTCAGTACGTAAACAAATATGCTGCTCAAGTGACCCTCAGGTTAAACTAAGTGGTTAATGATTTATATATAAATATGGTATTGTCTAAACTTTCTATTTATTAATAAAACTTGAAGCAATGCCCTACTGAAGGAACCAGAAATTCAAGCAGCAATTCTGAAAAAAGACACATTGGAAGGAAAGCAAAGCAAACCTCACCTGATGTTTGTTTTTCACTATGTTTCCCCAGCTGGTCTTCCGGGCTTCTTGTATCCCCACCTGAGGGAAAGCAATAGATTTGCAGACTCTTCAGAGAGCAGTGACACCTACTAAGCACTATTCAGACAACCCCAAATCTTAACAAATCTGAGTGTTCCTTCCTTTGCCTAAAATATTCCCAGTGGGTCTTCTAGAAATGGGAAGTTGCTTCCCATTCAGGTGATGATGGAATATCAACACCTACATCCCATGGCTTCGAATGGCTCTCAACACCAAGTATGAAGGTGTTTCAATGAGGAATGATTAAGATAATCACTATTAATTATTTCCCTATTCTACTTCTCTCGCATAAGCCAGTGTCTCCAGTTCAAAAAAACAGTACCAATTGCCACTCTGTCATCCCCTCTTGCCCTTTCTCATAAAGCCCAAGTAGAGAATAGGGCTGAAGCCCACAGAAACTCTGGTTTTTATAAATTCTCAAAATCCTTGGAAGCTTCATAGGTTCTAGATCACAAGCCAGCCTACTTTTTAACAAAAACTTGGGTTTTTTCTTAAAGTTTAAATAAATGACTAGGAATGGACAAGATGTCCCTTAGATACATTTCCAAAAATATTCAGTCAACAAAGATGAATAAGAACTTGGAAAATTAAGAGTATATGTGGATTTGCACAGAGAAATTACAATACTGCAAAACGATAATCTTTCAACATTTGCCTAACCTTGCTCCATGGATCAAGAAGCTTTAGCATATATGCACTTCATCACTTTAGGCCATTATCTAAAATGATCCAATATGTTTTGTTTTGTTTGGGTTTTTTTGGTACTGGGGATCGAACTCGGGACCATGCACTTGCATGGCAGGAGTTGGAGCCACTGAGCTAAATCCCCGGCCCAATCCAGTATGTTTTAAGATAATTCAGTATTAATACATTCACAATGAGGCTATAATTTGTATGTCTCACTGGTGGGAGGTTTGAACCACTGGTGGTACAAGCACGACTGTCCCACTGGGCAGCTATTTTTTTGGTACCAGGGATCAAACTTGGAACCTTGAGCTTGCAAGGCAGGCAGCAGAACCACTGAGCTAAGTCCCTGGCCCTGGGCAGCTTTTTAATAATTTTATTAGTACAAATACTGTAAAAGTGTTTAGATTCATTTGTACCACTAGTGGTACAAGCAGCCCAATGGGAAGCACCTTCCCAAGAGTGGAATGTATAAGATGAAACCCTTCAGGAAACTGATCCATGAAAAAAAGGAAAAAACCTAAGACCTACTACATTTATTCTTACCTGTAATTGGAATCAGTTTCCAATGTATTTCAGTCTCTTCAACATTACTAGACTTAGACTGTTGCCTATGGAATCCATGTTCAATGGGAACAGTAGGACACAAACTGCAATCTTCAAAATTATTCACGTTAATTAAATTTGGATCCTAAAAATTAAAAGTACATATTCAGTAGTATTCTTTTTAGGAAATTTTAATGTCAAGAATAAGTATTTCTTTCAGAGTCAATTCCTAAGTTTCAATTTAAAAACCACAAATAAGTAATATCAACATGGTAAAGTGGTATAACTGTATCTCAAAATAAAAACAATTTTTCCTCTCAAAATATAATTTGAGGGGCCAGGGATTTAGCTCAGTGGCACTGCACCTGCCTGGCAAGCCCAATATCCTGAGTTTGGTACCAAAAAAGAAAATATATATATATTATGTATGTGTGTGTATACATATATATATATACACACACACACACATATACACATGTATGTGTGTGTATATATCTCTCTCTCTCATTTGATGTTTCCTTACAGCAGTGACTCAGACACTTCTGGTAAAGTACCAGACAGTAAATATTTTAGGCTTTGCAGATCATACACTCAACTCTGCCATTATAGTATAAAAAGTCACAGACATAGACACATTAACACCTAAATGAATGAGCATAAAACTTTAATTACAAATCAAGAAGTGGGCTCTCTGGCCCACAGCCATCAACCTAGTACATATATTGTGAAACACTAACAATAGTTTAGTATCTCAATGCCTACCTTACATACTTCCCATTTAAGCGTCTTATCATCATTTTTCCCCTAAGCATCCAAAAGAACTGGAGAAAGGCTGAGGGCACGCACAAATGACATTTAGTCAAAAGCAGAGAAGCATGAATTAGAAATAAGCCCACAGAAATACGGTGCCATCATGGTGGTGTTCTCAATGATGCAGCCACTTCTTGAAGGAGATTAAAGCACTTCTCAGCTATAAATCAATCCCCTAAAGCAATAACCATAAATAAACTGGATGCCTTAATAAGCAAGGCTGAGTTACTTCAGAGGCAATTCAATAGCTCATTTCACTTTCCTATTTACATGAGAAATATAAAGTACCTACCCTATTAGTTACCCTGGGACAGCAAGTTCAGTCATGGCCTCATCTTTAAGTTCTCTGTTAACTGACACTAGAAAGCAGCCAATGCTTTAAGGACTCAAGTTTATTATGAAACAATATGTAATTTAACTTCCAATATTCCATCTCTGATATTGTCCAGTTTTAGTTTTCTCATAATGAGTAAACTTTAGACTATACATAAACTGTACAAGCAGGAAAGAAAACTTTGGCATTTATATCTTTGTAACAAAGAAAACTTAGAAGCACCATCCTGGACAGACATCTTTACTCAGAAGTGTATTTTAGTTCTTCTTGAAAGGCAAAACCACTCTCTGAAGCATACTCATTTCCTCTTTGACACAGTGAAAAGCAAACAAAAGATAACCAAAAGATATATGCTTACTTCTTTCAAATGCAGTTTATGGTCAATGCCTACTTCACTGGATACAGCAACCGGATACTTTAAAGATGAAGTATTCACTTCTAACAATGGGCTCTGAACGCCCTTAAAATGTACATTTTCAATTTTTATACAAGTAGGCTGCTCATATCCTTTCTTATCTGAGACAGAGTTCAACTTATACTCATGATTCTGCCTTAGCTCTTCATAGGCATCATCAGTGTTCAATCCTAAGGCTTTGTTGACTGTGTCTGTCAGGGATGCATCAGAATGGCGAGCATTGGCTAGCGTTTCTGACAGCCAATTAAACAGCCTATGAATGTCACCACTGCCAGAGTTACAGGTATCCTGCTGCTGCCGTCTCAAGTCAGCATCATGCCCAACTAAGCCAACAGGCTGTGGAGACTCTGAGAAAAAAGAAAGAAAATTCATCTCTTGAACTTAAGTTCAAAAGTCAGCATACATATTTTTAAAATCCTCCATTCCTCTAATATTTTATCCTTAAAGCACTGGCTAACCCTCGTAAATCTTAAGCTTTATCTTGAATGACTAAACTACTTAAAATTCATAACGAAGCTAGGATATTAAAGATACCAAAGAAATCTCCACCAAACTTTTATCAAGAAAAAAATGCTATGTGAACATGTTAAGACACGGTGCCAGGCAGGTATAAATTTGGACAATCTGCACAATATATTAAACTTTCACAGGAGCAGACATCCAGAAAATCATGTTTTCAGCTAGATGTGGTGGCACACACCTGTAATCTCAGCTACTGAAGAAGCTGAGGAAGGATTGTGAGTTTAAGGCCAACCTGGGCAATTTAGTGAGACCCTGAATAAAAAAAGGAAAGGGAAAGTCACGTGTCTTGATGCTAGAGTGGATATTATGACTTCTAATTTAGGAAGGTTATAATGAATCACAGTAAGAATAAAAGAAACAGTAGACTATGTACTAATTCCAATTATCTGTAATATTATATAATTATGATTCTAATAATAGGAAATTACAGACCAGGCAAAACTAATCTAGACAAAAACCAGAGCAGCAGGAGGCGTGGGTGAGCTTCACTACAAAGTGAATTTTAAAAGGTAATGAAAATGTTCTAAATATTGGAATGGTGGCTACACAAATGTAAAACTCATTAGACTGTGTGCTTAGGGCTGGGGATTTAGCTTAGGGGTTCCGCTGCTTGCCTTGTAAGCGCAAGGTCCCAAGAGTTCTATCCCTGGTACCAAAAGAAAAAAAATTATAGGTTGTGTGCTTAAAGTGGGTACAATGTATACATATTATACCTCAAAAAACAGAGAAGGGGTTTTCAGAGGTTACCACATAAAATGAGTGGGTTCACCACCAAATCAAAAGCAGGATATTTTAAGTTATAATGCACCCTGGGGCTGGGGATTTAGCTCAGTGGTTCTGGTGCCTGCCTCGCAAGCACAAGGTCCTGAGTTTGATCCCCAGTACCAAAAAAAAAAAAAAGAAGATATAATGCACCCTTCAAATCTCTACTTTCAAAAGCAAAAAACATGCAAAATACCTAAAAAGAAGCAAGAAATACCTAGAAATCTTACCTACACACTCTTCCTTGGCCCCATTTTCCTTTTAGAATATTCTAATTATCAAAGTTTTCCTACCATCCGTCCATCCATCCATCCATCCAGAGATAGAGTCTCACTATGTAGTTCATGTTGCCCTTGAACTCACTATGTAGTCTAGGCTAGCCTCCAACTCAGAAGCAATCTTCCTGCCTCAGCCTTCAGAGTGCTGGGCTTACAGGTGTACACTATGCCCAGCTCCTACCATTTAAATTATTGACAAAACTTGACTGTTATTCCACACATACAGAATCAACCAATTACCAGCCACAAACTATTAAGCGGCTATTTTGCACTCAGTGCTCAGAAATACAGCAGAGTTTAAAACAGTGCTTTGGAGTCAATAAGAACTGAGTTAAAACATAGATTTTGCCACTACATAACTTTAGATAATGTCATTTACCACCAGAGATGGTTTTCTTATCAGCAAAATGAGGATAATAATGCCTACTACTTGCCAGGTGTGGTGGTGCATGCCTGTAATCCCAACACTTGGGAGGCTGAGGCAGGACGATTGCCACAAGTTTGAGGTCTGCCTTGGCTACAGCTATGTAGTGAGCTCAAGGCCAGCCTTAATTACATAGCAAGACTGTCAAAAAACCAAAGGAAGGGGCCAGGGATTTAGCTCAGTGGTTATGCTGCCTGCCTTGCAAGCGCAAGTTCGATCCCTGGTAACAAAAACAAAGGAAGAAAGGAAGGAAGGAAGGAAGGAAGGAAGGAAAGAAAGAAAGGAAGGAAGAAAAGAAGGAAGGAAGGAGGGAAGGAAGGAAGGAAAGAAAGAAAGGAAGGAAGAAAAGGAGGGAAGGAGGGAGGGAGGGAGGGAGGGAGGGAGGGGGAGGAAGGGAGAGAAAGAGAGAGGGGCAGGGATGTAGCTCAGTGGTGCCGCACCTGTCTGGAAAGTGCAAGGTCCTGAGTTCGATTCCAAGGGGAGAGGGGAGAGAAAAAAGAGAAAACCCTGCTACTCAAGAACTGGAAAAGTCCATGTAAATAAAGCACCCAGAACACAGCATTTAAAACTGGTCAAGACACAGGTCAACTGTTTAAGACAGACAGCAGGTATCAGAAGTATCAACAGGTGCAGCACAGATCACATGTCCAACCTAAGCTGACGGAGATGGAGACTATCAATGAACAGAACAACAAGAGAGCTGAGGAAGGTTCTTTGACCTGCAAACATACAAAAACTAAAAGGAGTGCAAGATGCTTCAGGAAAAGAGAAAAGGAAGTAAAAGACTGACCAGGACACGTTCTAGGGAGATGAATCTTAACTACAGTACATGAAAGAATGGGAAAAACAGCTGGATATGGCCTGTCTGCAACAGAACGCCACATACGGAAGATGAGATTCATCACAAGTTAATAAAGCAATACTGGACGTGATACTGGAATGAATCAAAGAAATCAATAAGTCAGGAAAGCCGCCAAGGAAATGAGAACACGGACAAGGAAAATAACATTGGAGAAAAAAAAAAGAAATACAAGGAAAAAACCCTCAAAGTTACTGCAGACAATAGCTCTGTCAAAAACATAACTTATTTGATTTAAATTAAGCTTAAATAACAACACATGGCTAGCAACTAACACACTGAATTAATACAAGAATAAAACAGATAAAGTCAAGACTCAAATGTAGATTGCTGGGAGCATAAAAACGTATTAAGGACATTGATCTGCCCAACCTGGTCAGAGAATAAATTTGAAAAAAGAAAGCCAGGCGTGGTGGTGCATGCCTGTAATCCCAGCACTCAGGAGACTGAGGCAGGAGGAGTGCCATGAGTTCCAGCCCAGCATGGGCTCCATAGTGAGCTCAAGGCTAACCTAGACTGCTTAGCAAAACCTTGTCTCAAAAAAAAAAAGACAAGAAAATTGCTCGGTAAGAAATGGAGGCATACTCAGACCTGTCATAATTAAAACCAACAGAACAAAATGTGAAATATCATTATCAAAGGTTCCTGAATGCTAAAACAATGTATTTTATGCTAACGGACTAAAAATGTGAATATCTTAAAAACTTAAATGATAAAAGTATTTTAACTTACTTGAAATATTTAAACACACACACTTAAGAGTCTCTGTTTTTGTCTTTTCTATCAACCAAAACAGAAAGCAAAGCAAAAAAGAAAAAATAGATGACATTCTTGGATTCCTAGGGTTGAAAATTATATGTATTCATCTAAGAAACTGTAATGCTCAAAAGGTTCCTTTCATTAAGTAATATCCTAAAAGAACCCAGTATTGTTATATTTCTCTAATTATGAAATTATAGGAATCTAAAAGGATAGGAGCTCTGATGAGAAGGAAAATCGTGAAGTATACTTTATTAGCATAACTCAAACTATTCAGAGATCTGACATACTAGGGAAAAATGTGTTCTGTACAGGACCAGACAGTAAGTACTTTAGACTTTGTAGGCCACAGACACAGTCTCTGCCCCAACTCTGCCATTATAGTGTGACAGCAGCTATGTACACATAAATGAACGGGCATGGCTGTATTCTAATATGACTTTCTTTACAAAAAGAGGGACAATTTGGATTTGGCGCACAGGCTTTAATTTGCACACCACTGTACTATATGAAAGAACTAATTCCTACATTTTGGGATGTTATTATAAAAGAAATCTATTTTACCTTCATACAGATGGTAATTTTCAGATAAATTACTAGTTTTCGCAACTTTTCTCTTATTTTCAGGTAGGTTCTCAAGCTTCCTCTTCAAGACAGTTTTGCTTCTCATATCTTCTGTGTCTGGGTCTCCGCCAACATTTTTTTTCCTACACTGAATTAAATTAATCAATTCCTTGACTCTGTCCTTATCATAATCCAAAGAATGACATGACTTTTGCTTTCCAGGTGAAGTAGTTTCACGCCTTGAGTTGTTTCTTTTTCCAAATTTCATTTTCGTACCATTCATTTCTTCTTCTTGACCCTCATAATCTGAAAGTGGACTGAACTGTTGAAGTTTTTTATTTTCTTCAAATAGTTCTTTTAGTTTACAAATAGGTAACTGATACATTTCAGGTCGAAAAATATAGGTATGCAAACAATCATCAATATGGGACTTATGTTTTGGTGCTGAGTATAAGAACTTCTTATCATCTAATCGTGAATCATATGAAAACATAAATTCCCATTTACCTGAACCAAAACCTCGCTTAAAAAATTCACTTACATACTTTTCAACAACAGAATGAAAATTTATAGTGTTTATACTTTTGAATTCTTTTCGACAATGAATCAAAGCAAACTGTAAGAATTGAGCTATTCTTAATATATCTGGTACACTCTCATGCTCATGCCTCTCCTGTGGTGCTGGATTGGTCGAAAGTTTTTGTGCTGTAAATAAACAAAAATAACAATCAAGAAACCCATCAAATACAGATATACATACTTCTAAAAATGTGTAACATTTACATATTAGTATTGAACTAAATTAGCTGTACCCTAATACATACACAAGTACATAGTTATAGCATTTCCAGAAGCCGAAAACAGGCCAAATTAAAAATTAAAACAAATGAGGTAGGGCCAGGGATTTAGTTCAGTGGTTTCACCACTTGCTGCGCAAGAGCAAGGACCAGAGTTTGATCCCCGGTGCCAAACAAACAAACAAACAAGGTAGCAGAATATATTTGTAAAAGAAAAAACACCCAATGATGATCTTAATTTTGTACTGCCCCTAGGCAATGCAAGTATCAGTAAGCAAAATGAAAGAAAAAATAAAGACATCAAGACAAAATTCCCCAAGCAAGACACTCCTGCAAATGATAACAATGTCATTTCTTTCTCTCATAAGTAACAACTTTAACTTCATATACACTCTCTTCCCATAAGCAGATACACAGGCACAAAGTAGCCACAACTGAGAAATATAAACTCATCAGTGGAAACAGAAATGTACTCTTAGTCCAGCAGTAAACTCATCAGTGGAAACTTATATAATATTAAAGTTTATTCTTACAAAGCAAGAATAGCAAATTTTTTCTAATGAATAACAAAAATTCTCATTAATTCTGAATGACCTATAATTTAATCTAGCGCATGATAAACTCAGTAAAATATGAATGAAAAATTCACTAAGGAAAAATAACTACATAAAACCCTCAAAAGCTAGCTGCAGTACTGTAACAATTACATCAAAATTTATTAGGAAAGAGCAATGATAAAGCCAAAATAATTTTTCTGAGATAAATACCAAGTCATATATGTGTTTTAAATTGTTAATACCTCTGATTATCCCCAGTATTTCCCAAAACATGATATAGGAAAGACAAAATGTTTAGTTAAGTTACCTGAAATTTTTCAATAGCACGTAGGTATAAGTAATTAGATTTAGATATTTAAAGAACTTACAAGTAATTATGCCTCTAGGTTCTTGAAATAGAAACAAAGCATGCAGGATTCGAGACTTGACAGTCTGATGTTCTAAAAAACAGAAGCCAAATTCATTAGCATTGTGTTTTTGTTTTGTTTTGTTGGCAGAGACAAGGTATCACTATGTAATTCAGTCTGGCCTTGAACTCACTAGGTAGCCCAGGCAGCCTCAAACTTGTGATCCTCCTGCCTCAGCCTACCAAATGCTAGGATTACAGGCATGTGCCATCATACCCAGCAGCAATGTGTTTTGACTGAAAGATTTTTTAAACTGTTAAAAAGTAAAGAGAGAAGATCACCTACCATATGGAGAAACCATCTGATACGGCGAGAAAAGAAAAAGGAATCCTCTGTCTCCCAATGGTTTAACAAGAGCCTGCATTTTGGAAAAGGAGAGAAAATGTATCTGCTTTATTATTACTTACTATAAGTCAGATACATAGCACTTTCTTCTAATTATAAAGAAAAAAGTTCTTATTCATCTTTTTAGACAAAATATTGCTTCTCAATTCATTTAAAATTATTTAATCCTAAGCACCACCCCTCCCCAGAACAACAAAAAAATCTCTGAAGTCTTTCTACTAACTCTGCTGATTAACAGAATTCCAATCAAATTTGTTTTCATAATACAACTGGAGAATGTTACTAAAATAATCCCCATAATTAACTCTGAGGCCAATTTGTTAATTTTCCCCTGAAGCAAAAAATACAAGTACCAAACTAAAGATTTCATATTTTCATCACCAATATAAAAGATGTTATTAAACTGCCAATACAGTACTGCATGTCAGGTTAATCTAAAATGAAAAATATTGCCAAAAGCTTATGCCACACATATTTAATGTTTTATAATTTGCCCTGCCAGAGATAATTTGAAAGATAAGTAACACAAGGTCCTGGATGACAAATTTATAATGAATACAGAGAGTAACACATGAAAATAACAATAATTATGCAAGACAGAAAAGTTTCCCAAGAGATTTATAAAGGAAAAGGAATGGAAAATACAGTTTGTTTATAGTAGAAAAGGATGGTCTAGAAAGGTTTACTGAGTAAATTGAAGGTAGATTTTTGAAGAACAGGTAGGTCTTATACACTGCCAAGAGCCTGAGACTGTGGGAAGTACATTTTAAGAGAGCCAACATTATGCGCAAAGGCAAGTTATAACACAGCTATACAGACAGTCTGAAGGCATTATAGTACTTATGATTAGCAAAGTGAGAAAAGATCAATTACTGAGACAAGACTAAGACAAATATCAGGAAGCCAGATCAGGAATCAAGACTGTAAAATAAACAAGAACACCAAGTTAGCCAGGAATGTCCTTGAGAATATACTCTTTTGTGATGCACTGACAATCCTTAAAACAATAACTAAGAGCTGAGTATAGTGGCACATACCTGTAATCCCAGTTATTTGGGAGGCTGAGACAGAATCCCAAGTTCAAAGCCAACTTTGGGCAACTTAGTGAGACCCTGTCTCCAAAACAAAAAGGCTAGAGATGTAGCTCAGTGCAAAGGCACTGGGTTTAATCCTTAGTATTGCCACACACACACACAAAAAGATTCATAGTATTTTTTTAATAGACAGGTGAGCAAATGAGGAATTCAGCATGGTAGTCCAACATAAAAGGGATAGTTGAGTTCTGAAAGAAAACTTGTTCTACCTAAATTCCTATTGAACAATGCCAGTAAGCAAAGTCTGCGTGAAAACTAGTAATTTAAAGGACAAAAGTGACCATGCTACTCACTCACATTTAATAAAACATTGTTTGAACACACAAAAGTAAAGTGGTATCATATTTGGTGATTTCAAGAGTCCCAGTAGACCAAGTTCCCAAGAGACAACTTCTCCCTTTTCCATTCAACCAGTGCCAAACTCTGAAGATGCCAAGTGATGCTCAAGCAGTTCATTCTGGCAGCACCCTTACAGGAGTGATGGTGGAACTAGGCTGGTGGGATGGACCAAATACAGCCCGGGAGTCACTGATTGACCAGAAGGTCTCTGGGGACCATTCTCAAAGGCTGGGGAATCCTTCCCCTTTTTTCATACCTGTCATCATTCTAGATCAGTAACCAGATGCTTATGTCATTAAAGGAGTTTAAGTGAGGGTACACTTTAAGATTTATAAAAGTTATATCTTTGCAGTGTTGGTCTTGTCTCCTGGAAATCTCCAAGCCAAACTGCAACGCATTGCTAAGTGACATGTACTATTAGTCCTTCAAGATGCTTAAAGTGAGCCTTATCTTTATCATTAATCTTATAGCCATGATACCTCTCTTGAGAGTATGTGCTGCAAGTGGACAATGTACCTAATTTTTTAAAAGATATACTTTAATCCAAAATGTCTAAATATTATATCCCTTTTAGCATTCTGCCCAACTCCAAGGTGTCAGAACAGGATGTTGGGGAAACAAAACATTTTCATGTTCTGTGCTGAGGAAAACCAGCTACATATGTTTAACCTCTCACCCATTCCAAATAAGAGTACTCAGACTTTATAAATTCCACTGGCCTAGGGGCCTAAAGGCTCATACTTTAAGGAACTCTGATGTACCCAGAAACCCATGAAGTACAGATGATCTACACCCAGAAACAACTGTAAAGTAGACAGAAGCCGTAGCAGTTGTATCTGCAGCTGGAGTCCAAAGAAACATCTTCACTCCTAAAGGAAAGGAAAAGCCCAAGAGCTCTATGTTCTTGATGCTTCTATTTATCATACCTTAACTGTTTTGTTCCCTGTCAGAAAACAGTATTAATCCAAGCTGTCAATTTTTCTTACTTTATTCTACTTTGTTGACTTAGATAACATTAGACACTATGGAACCAAAAAATGTTATTTAAAAAGCACATAAAGAGCTTACATCACCTAACTTAGAAGGAAATAGACTATTATGTGAGATTCAGTAGAAAACATAAATTCAAACATCTAAAGGCTTCAACTTCAAATTATCAAATGCAAAATATCAAATAATTCACTAGAAATATTTATAGAAATAAAATAACTGGCAGAATTGAAAACATGTTCACACGAAAGACTGTGCATAAATGTACCTCACTGATTTTTTTTTTGGTACTGGGGATCGAACTCAGGAACTTGTGTTTGTGAGGCAGGCGTGGTGTCACTGAGCTAAATTCCTGGCCCATTCACTCATTTTTTTAGATCTATTCCAATTATTTTCAGTTTTTATTCGTACATGTTTGCAGAACATAATGATTACATTCCTCTTGAGGACTGGCACATGTACATAAACACATCTTAATTCTTTCTTCATTCTCTTCCCCTCTTTATCTGCCCCTCCCTCCATTTCTTAATCCCCTTCTGAAAAGGTTTCCCTATTTCTTACCTTTCATTTTGCACTTCATTTATATAGGATTTCTCATATAAGAGAAAGCACACAATATCTAAGCTTGTGTGTAGTAATGTTTTTGATAGTCAGAAAGTATAGCTGGGCGTGGTGGAGCATGCCTATAATCCCAGCACTCAGGAGACTGAGGCAGGAGGATTGCCGTGAGTTAGAGGACAGTCTGAACAGCACAGCAAGACCCTGTCTCAAAATAATAATAATAATAATGTCAAAAAGTGAAAATAACTAATAGACAAACAAAATGTGGCATTATCTATATACCATAACAAACTAATGTTCACCCATAAAAAGGAATGAAGTACTGATACACATTACAACATGGATGAACCTTGAAAGTACAATACTTGTTAAAAGAAGTCAGGCACAAAAGGCCTGGTTCTATTTATATAAAATGTCTAGAATACACAAATCCATAGAGCAAGTAATGGTTGCCAGGGACTTGGGGAAGGAAAGAATGCAGTGTGAATGGTAAAGGGCTACAAGAGTTTTTTTCTGGGATAATGAAAATTTTCTAGAATTAGTGGTGATGGTTACACAACACTGTCAATCTACTAAAAACTACTGAATTGTACGCTTTAAAAAAGGCTAAAATGTTGAATTTTATATTGTGTGAATTTCATTTCAATAAAAAAATGGCAAGGAGGGTGGGGATTTACCTCAGTGGTTTCGTCGCCTGCTGCACAAGCGCAAGGACCCGAGTTCGATCCCTGGTACCCCTCTCCCAAAAACGGCAAGGAATACCAAAGTATGTCTAACTCCTAGAACAGTACCTGGTAAATAATAGATACTCAATAAATGTCTGAAAGAATTAATAAGAACCTGTTAAAAAATGACCAGGCAGATCCAGAAAGAATCAAATACCTGGGTGTGGTGACACATGCCTGTAATGCCAGCACTGGAGGCTGAGGCAAGAGGATCATCCAAAAGTTCAAGGCCAGCCTAGGCTATGTAGTGAATTGAAGACCAGCCTGAATTAGAGTGGAACTGTCTCAACAAAACAAAGCAAAACAAAACGAATCATACATAACTTTCAGGAAAAAAAAAAAAATCTCTATGAGGGGCCAGGGATTTAGCTCACTGGTGCCGTGCCTGCCTCGCAAGCACAAGGTCCTGAGTTTGATCCCCAGTACCGGAAAAAAAAAAAAAAAATTCTTAATGAAATTAGAAACTCATGGGCCAGGGATTTAGCTCAGTGGTTCCGCTGCCTACCTCCCAAATGAGAAACTCAATAAATAAATGAAATGGCAAATCAGACACAGCTAAAGATATAATTTTTATATTAGAAGGTAGTTATGATGAAATTTAAACTGCAAGACAGAAGAACAAGTAGATAGAAAACAAAAGAGAGGTCAACAGACATAAAGAACACAATGAAAAGGTTATGACATGGATCTTTACAGTCCTAAAAGGTGTAATCAGAGATAACAGCTAACAATTTTTCCAGAAATGAAAATATAAACTCATAGATATGGAAAAATATACATCAAGCTAGCAAATATGAAATCTATACCTAAATAATGTAACTACAAATCAAAGACCAAAAACAAAGAGCCACTAGGAAAAAACAACCTACAACAAATACTCACTTAGACCCAGAGCTGACGTCTTAAAAAAAATAGAAGCCAAATATAGGAAAAATATACGTGTCATCCCAGAATTGTCTACCCAGCATCCAATAATTAAAGAATATACATTCTCCTCAAATATGAGCATGTACAAAAACTGACCATACAGATCTCTTAAAGCAAGTCTCAACAATTTCCAAATAATTCCACCTGTTCAATTACCATTCAATTAAATCATAAATTTTAAAAAAGGCAAAGTGGGGGCCAGGGATTTAGCTCAGTGGTTTCGCTGCCTGATGCGCAAGTGCAAGGACCTAAGTTCGATCCCCGGTACCAAAAAAAGAAACGAAATCAGTATCTTAAAATCATTCATAAACAGAAGATGGTACCGAAGGCGAAGAAGGAAGTTCCTGCCCCTCCCCCCAAAGGGGAAACCAAAGCAAAAGCTTTGAAAGCCAAGAAAGCAGTGCTAAAAGGCATCCACAGCCACAAAGAGAAGAAAATCCGCACGTCACCCACCTTCCGCCGTCCCAAGACACTGGGGCTCCAGCAGCAGCCGAAATACCCTCAGAAAAGCGCCCCCAGGAGAAACAAGCTTGACCACTATGCCATCATCAAGTCCCCCTGACCACAGAGTCAGCCATGAAGAAGATAGAGGACAACACACTCATATTCATTGTGGACGTCAAGGCCAACAAGCACCAGATCAAACAAGCTGTGAAGAAGCTCTGTAACACTGATATGGCCAAGGTCAATACCCTAATCAGGCCTGATGGAGAGAAGAAGGCGTATGTTTGACTGGCTCCTGATTATGATGCTTTGGATGTTGCCAACAAAACTGGGATCACCTAAACTGAGTCCAGCTGGCTAATTATAAATACACACTATTTTCACCATAAAAAAAAAAAATCATTCATAAATAAAAGATAGTTTTGCAGAAAAGTGCTACTCAACAAACAATAAATTATATTAATCTTATATATTGTCTATCTTCCCTCTCTGTGAGTTCTGTATCTGTGGTTTCAGCCAACTGTGGATGAAAAATGAGGAAAAAAATTCCAGGAGTTCTAAAAAGCAAAATTTGAATTTGCCACTCACCAAACAGTACGCTGAATCCATGTGAAGTGCTATGTAGGCATACCCTGCTCTAGCTTCCCACCATCACAGATGGTCAGTCTCTCTCTCCAGCTCTCAATCTGAGCACCGTTCACCTCATGTTTGCATACTATGTAGTTAGCCCTACAATGAATGTGTTTATACTGAACATGTATACTTTATCATTACTCCCTAAATAGTATAGTATAGCAACTATTTACAGAGGATTTCTGTTGTACTGGGTATTTTAAATAATCTAGAGATGATTTAAAGTACTGTATATGGGAGGATGTGTATAGGTAATATTCACATATTACACCTTTTTATATGAGGGACTTGAGCACTCATGAATTTTGGTAGCTGTAGGGGATCCTAGAACCACCCCCATGAATATCAAAGGATGATTGTAACATCCATCCACCTCTTACAAAAAGAATACTACGTAACTTACTCTGGAAAACTAGTATAATCTTCACACAAAAATTAAGATAAGTACTGCCATTCAGACTAGAATTGCGCTAATGACGTTCCTGGTTCTCAGGTCTTCAGAATAAGACCTACATCAACTCCCCTAGATCTCCAGCTTGCTAACTACACATTGGGGAAATGTCAGCCTCCATTATCATATCAACTAATTCTTTATAATAAATCTCTTTTATACACACATGCACATTCTTCATTCTATTGGGTTTTCTTGGTACTGGGGATGGAACTCAGGACTTGAGCTTGCAAGGCAGGCATGGCACCACTGAGCTAAATGCCTGGCCCTCTATTGGTTTTTTCTTTAGAGAACCCTAAAATATACATATATACAAATATATACATTTGCTAAAATTCAAAATCCCTTCATGTATAAAAAGCAAAGTCTAGAGTAGATTTAAGACCTACTGCAAATTTCCTACTTAAAAAATGATGAAATGTCTGTCAGAAGTGTTCTTTGTAAAAATCACGCTTGATCTTAGCCAAAAGGCTGAGATGTGATTTTTTTTTTTTTTTGAACCGGGGATCGAACTTGAGACCTTGCGCTTGCGAGGCAGGCGCCGGAACCACTGAGCTAAATCCCTGGCCCTGTTCTTTGTAAAATCAAGAAGACAACAATGACTAAAAAAATCACTACTTTTATCAAACATCAGACTAAAGGAACCTTGAATCCACAGTAACACTAAGGAAAAAAAAAAGCATAAAACTAGTGCCTGTAGTAGTCCCAGTTACTTGGGAAGCTGAGGCTGGAGGATCCCTTGAGCATAGGATGGGAGACCAGCCTGGGAAACACAGTAAGATCTTGTTACAAAAACAAAACAAAACAAAACAAAAACAATATTCCTCCCAGATAATGAAATCTGTATATAAATGCCAAGAACATATAAAAACTATCAAATATCACACTGATCTGACATAAACTTGATATATATAAGTATCAATTATACTTCCACATATACAACAAACCAAAAAATGCACTGAAACGTGGCTGGAAATGTAACTCTATTGTAAAGCATATACTTAGTATGCTTAACATCCAGGATTCAATCCCCAATATGCCAGCCCCTGCAAAAACATTATCACATTCACACAAATAAAACCAACATTAAAAGACCAATACCTTTTCTGTACAACAGTAATGAACTGAAACAAATTAGAAAAACATCTCCATTCACAACAGCTTCAAAAAAAATGAAATTAAAGTACCTAGGAATCAACCCAACCAAGGAGGTAAAAAAGCTCTAAAGTGAAAATTACAGAACACTGAAGAAATTGAAGAAGACACTAGTATATGGAAAGACCTCCCAATGTACATGGATTGTCAGAATAAATATTCTATAGATTCAATGCAATAACCATCAAAATGCCAATGACATTCTTCGTAGAACTAGGAAAAAAAATCCTAAAACTCATAAGGAAACACAAAAGACCCAGAATAGCCAAAGCAATCCTAAGCAAAAAGAACCAGGCTAGAAGCATCACAGTACCGGATTTCAAATTATACTATAAAGCCATACTAATAAAAACAGCATGGTACTGGCATAAAAACTGACCCACAGGCCAATGGAACAGAACATAGGACACAGAAATAAACCTACGCAGCTAGAACTGATTTTGACAGAGGAGCAAAAAACATATACTGGAGAAAAGACAGTCTCTTTTTAACAAATGGTGCTGGGAAAACTGGATATCCATCTGTGGATGACTAAAACTTGGTGCCTATCTCTCATCCTGTACAAAAATCAATTTCAAAATGGACCAAAGAACTATGTGTAAGACCTGAGACTTTGGAACCACTAGAATAAAACATAGCGGGAACACTTGAAGCCATAGGCATAGGCAGACTTCCTAAGTAGGACTCCAATAGCACAGGAAATAACAGCAAAAACTGAGAAGTAGGCTATATCAAAGTTTCCACACAGCAAGAGAAACAACAGAGGACAGAAGAGACAGCGTATAAAATGGAAGAAAATCTCTGCCTGCTACTCTGTTGACAACTCAGTGAGACATTGTCTCAAAGAATAAAAGGCCAGGGGATTTAGCTCAGTGGTTCCTCTGCCTGCATTGAAAGTGTAAGGACTTGAGTTTGATCCCGGTACCAAAAAGAAAAAAAAAAGAATAAAGGGGCTGGGGATTTAGCTCAGTGATGCCATCACCTGCCTCTCAAGCGCAAGGTCCTGAGTTTGATCCCTGGTACCAAAAAAAAAAGAATAAAAAGGACTGGAAGCACTCCAGTGCAAAATCCCTGGGGGATTCAATCTCCAGTACCAAAAAAAAAAAAAGAAACTCAAAAAATATTTGACTATCACTTTCATTATTACAAAGTATAATAAAGATACTTCATGAGAAAGACTATAGAAGAGTGAGGGTGAACCTTTTAGAGGCTTCAATGATGAACGACAGTCTGCAGCATATGTGCCATAGGCTTAACACCACTGATACAGAAGGTCTAATGGCATGGCCAGAAAACCAGCCATACTAAAATACTGTTAACTAAATAGCAACAGAAAGACTTTCTAGTACTTTCAGAGACAAAAAATAAACTGAAATATTAATATAATCACTAATATGTTTTCAAAGAATAAGAAGTACTTCAAAACCTTTCACTCACAAGCTTTTCTTTATCTAGTTTTTGCAGTAAACTCTCCATGTTACTTCCAATTCTTGTTTTTTCTACAACTTCATAAAGGCTGCAATACATTCCATTCTTCAAAACTGACATAAAAAGAAACACACAGTAAATATCCAAACAGTCTGCTTCTCATATATTTTAGTAAAATTAAATTACTTTACCTTCATTTGGACCCACGTATGTTCCCTTGTAAAACAGTGATGGAGGAATTTTCTGTTTCAGATGATCAATACTCACAACCGTTTCAATATCTAACTTTTCAGGACTGGAGAAAAAAACCAAACAAGCACATTTGCCTTGCCTATATTTTTAACTCTAACAGTATTATCACACTCTCACACACACACACACAATGCTTATGGGAAAACAGAAGGATGTATTCATTAATATCTCACTTTATTCTAAAGAGGTCTTGGTATGGAAAACTCCAGATGCCCTAACATAAATAGGCTGCAATATTACCAAACTTGCACCAACAGCCAAAAGCTAATCTTACATGCCAATTTTAGTAATAACAAAGGATTAAATATTGTCATTTTATTAAAAATAATTCAAGTACAAACTGTTAATTTTCAGATCTTTATGAAGGCCCATGTTTAATGTGGTGGTAGCAAAAGATCGTGCTAGATCATTCTATTCCAACATATGTTTGCATAGTAGAGAAAACACCCTGTGTATTTTAACTTAACTTATCACATTAAGGCTTTTCCCACAAAGAACTTGTAACTTTTAAGTCTATGATATTCAAGTTACCAAATGAAAAATATATCAAATTAGGATAAGACTTTTAAAGATTATTTTTTGATTGAAAATCACTAACAAAAATTTTATGCCACAAATGTGTGCAACTGGCCCATCTTCAAATCAAGACAAAGAAGTAGAGGGGGTTCCTTTTATCAATTAAGTTTCTAAAGTTATTAAATCAATCTTCTTAAAAATAAACATTTATATTTAAATTCTTCTGGAACAAAGCAAAATGTAAATATAAAAAAAGGAAAAAAGTGGGCCAGGGATTTAGCTCAGTGGCACAGCACCTGCCTTGCAAGCACAAGGTCCTGAATTGGATCCCCAGTACCGAAAAGGAAAAAAGTTGAACTAATAATAATCGATTGCTATTTTCTTATAACATACTTACAGCTTGATAGGCAAAAAAGCACGAGTAGCTGACCTCAGAGAAATGTAACACAGAAGCTTTCCTTTATTTAAAAGTTGTCCTTTCCACAAGGTGTAGTTAAACTTTTCTAAATAAAAAGAATTAGTAACATTGTTGTCACTTGACAGCCCAGAGAAATAAATGCACATCACTAGAAATAAGAGGGAAAATATCTAGAAACATAAAAGTGATATCCCATCTACAGAAAAGTTTAAATACTAGGATTTTAGTTTCAAGTATCTTTTCTCCTAAAAAAAATTCAGTTTCAACAAATAACACATTTTTCTGTCTAAATGTCATCAGAAAGCTAAGAAAGAACAATACAATCACTGCCTTTTTGCTCCCAAGAGACTATGTTAAATCTGATAGTGCATGAATGCCCACAATGTCTATTATCTTCTATTCATTCACTTTTCATTATGAAGAAACCTAACAATAATGTCAAAGTTGCTTTTAATCTTTACCTCTTCTAAATGCTAAACCTCTGAAGAATTTTATACTTTTCAAAGGCTGAGTTGTAGCTAGGCATGGTGGTACATGCCTGTAATTCCAGGGGCTGAGGCAGGAGGATTATCACAATTTCAAGGCCAGGTTAGGATACCTAGTGAGTTCAAGGCCAGCCTGAACTACATAGCAAGACCTGTCTCCAAAAAAAAAATAAAAAAGGGCTGAGTTGTGAGATCTATCATTTATTTAAAAGTTACCCTTTACTCTATCTTCAGAAGTAGGAGCTTCTTAAATTTAGGAAAACTTATGCTTGGATGACCAAGTATTAATGCCACATAACCTAGCCTCATCTGCTTTTTCATACTTTTCAGATTTTCATTCATTATAAAAATAAAACAAAGCACTTATTTTTTTATTGTATTCTATTTAGAAAACTAAAGAAATACAAGCATCTTACCTATATGTCTATCTGCATTAAAGCTGTTAGATCTACAAATTTTTAAAAAGGAAAGAAAAAAATTACTGATTGGTAAAAACACGAAAGTTAACATTTAGAACCCTTGATACAAGTGCCTTTTTGCAGTGCTAAGGACTGAACCCATGGCCTCATGCATGCTAGGAAAGCAATCTACCACTGAGCTACATACCCAGCCTATAAATGCTATTCGTAATGGTATACTGCATAAAAGAATGAAATCCTTCCTCCAAGTAGAAGAACAAATGAACTTCTCATTACAGAATTTAATAAATCCAAGTGAACTTAAAGAAAAAGTAGTATTTATTTTGCTATTACCACATCTGCCCAAAGTAAAGCAAGGTTTTATTCCCACCAAAATATATCCATTAACAGAGAATAGTTCATTAAAGTTTCTTTCAATTATTTTATCTTAGTGGTAAGATTAGAAAAAAAGGTTCAATGTATATTCACTGGGCATTCAAAAATATTTACTAATAAGATCCTATTATTTACCAGGCATAATTCTAGGTTAAAAGATTATAGGAATAAACAAGACAAAGTCCATGTTGAATTTCAAAGAACTTACAATCTAATGAGGAAGACAGATGATAACCAAAAATGTATAAAGCTTACCAGGTGATGATGGTTTTAAGTGCTATGAAGAAAAAGACACATGGTATAGAGGTTAAAAAAAAATCAGGAAAGGCCTCACTGAGGTCACCTTTAGGGAGAGAACTGCAGTGTAGGAAAAACCTATACAGATAAAGCAACTGGGGAAAAAAGAAGGGACAGCAAATGCAAAGTCCCCAGACAATAGCATTCATGGAACATTCAAGGTGCAGAATCATGTTTAATCAAAGCTTATTTGATGTAATACAGAAATGAGAATCAAAGAGGAGTCAAAGACAATTAACAGTCATTATTCCTAGGGGCATGACCTCTTAATAAGTGCTAGATGTCTCTTAAAGATCACGTATAAAAAAATGCTATAGTTACTAAATCATGGAAATCATAAACATAGGGCAATTTTTTAGAAAGGATAAAAACACAACTGTCTAATATTATGTGGATTGGTACTTGTGCCTGCCAATGGTTTCCAGGGCTTATTCACTGACATGAAAAAGTGCTGTATTTCAAATAACTTAAATGGATGACAGGATAATTCGACTTAGAAAACTGATAAAGAGGTCTACATGAAATAAATTCATAAATGTTTCTGTGGCTTTTAAAACAGCAGTATTTCAGTCAGGCACATGCCTGTTATCTCAGGAAGCTGAGGAAGGAGGATCACAAGTTTAAGGCTAGCCTTGGCAGCAACATAGTGAGATCTTGTCTCAAAACTTTAAAATAATTTTTTAAAAGGAGTGGGGATATAGCTCAGTGGGAGAGGGCCTGGGTTCAATGCCCCCTACAGAAAAATTTTTTTCTAAATTAATAGATATCACAAATAATTTTAAACATGCACTGCAACTCAAAATGAAAATAAACAGAAATTTAACTACCTACTTACATCTCTGTAAATTTACTTAATCCATTTGGTTAAAACATTTTCTAGAATCACCACATGGAAGAAATGGATAACTACTTTGTATCAGTGATACCCAATACTGGTTGATAATTAAAATCACATGGAAGCTTTAAAAAAACTACCAATGCATAGGCTCCCTAATAAGTATCAGATTTAACTGGTTTGGGGAGGGGCTGGGGCATCATTTACAAAAGCTCCCCAATTTTAGGAAAGTTAATATCCAAAATTTCACTTTTAAAACCTGAAATTAACTCAACTACACAAACCTTCAATGCCAAAAGAAACCAGATGAAGTTTATGGAAATTTTAGTTTGTGTTTCCCCACAGCCAAATGATCTGTCTTTCACAATGACCTTTTAAAAATGCTCATGAACATTCAAACTTTCAATTAATTTTAAGAAAAGTTTTTAAGTTGGGAGGGACAAGTCCCTCTAACCCAGTAAGTAGTGCAGCATCTTACTCTGGATGATGTCTAAAACTCTGAAGTCTTACCTTGATGAAGAAACAAACTTGGGAGTTTGTATATCATCTCTGTAAGTAAAAGACACAACTGCATATGGACAAACATGTCTTGGTCTTCGCCTTAGTTCATCAAAGCCATACTCATAAAAATAATACTAAAAATAAGAAAATGCAAAATTAAGTAGGCAAGTAGTACAGAGTGAAACTTTGTATTTATCTGACTTTTAAGAATCAAAACCATTTAAACACTTCTGACAGAAAATTTCTTCAAGCTCCATCTTGTCGGTTTAACTGAAAAAAATTGTAGTTTACATTTACTTTGTGTTATGTAATATTCTACTTCTATTTGTATCAGATCCCAAGGTACTACTACTACTAAGTAGTATTCCAAAAGTATTTCTTCTGAGGAGTTGGCCACTGGGAATGTAAAACAAATTTCCCAATAAAAACATTACAAATGGAGCCTAAGATCCTAGGTCAGCCCCAAAAAGTTAACTTGATTGAAAAAAATAAAGTATTATGGTCATAATTTTAACCAAACCTAATTACCATTTTGCTTATTACTTGAAAACTGCAAATAAATCAAAAAAGCAAGGTGGACAAGAATAAAAACATAGATGTCAAGGTAGCTGAATAAGCCTCATTCAGAGACACTGGAATCTATCAGTGATGTGTAGAAACCAGAGACTGACATAGTAGCAGAGTGAAATGAAACAGTCTGAAGGATTCAGTAAAAAACAGATATGAGGTCATAACATTAAATAGGATCCAGGCACATACCTGAGTAAGCTCATAGGCTCTGTAAGCCAAGAGTGATGTAATTCTACCTGCATTCTTCGACACGTGACATTCATGCTTTGGTGTGGGGTCCAAAGCACTTTTATTTAACATGGATTCCAAGCTTTTCACACCCATGGGGTCATATATACTCTTTATTTTACCCTAAAATAAAGAAAAACCTTGCAAATGTTCACCTAAACATGGTTAATATAAATAATTAGAAGTTCTACTCACAACACTATTCACTAAGTTAAATTATATTACCAACAATATTACCCTCTTTATTCTTTTCTTTGGAAGGGAAAACAAACTCTTAAGTATAATTAACTTAATCAAAGATGACAAATAAATCACTCTCAAAAGTATCTTCACACACTAGCAAGTATGGACTTCAACACTAACAAGTATGGATTTTAATTTAATCAAACTCCTAAATACTTCAAATTAAAATCCAAACAGAATGTGGTCTTTCATAAGTGAAATGTAAAACCTGAAATTACCTTCATTATTTTAAAAATCACAACATCGCCCACTGCCCCAGCTTCCAAAGGATTAGCTTGTAATAGGTCAGCATATTTAGAAAGATAGATACCTAATAAAGACAGAAAAATTAAAAGAATTTAAGTAGGACATGTATACAAAAAAATACAAATATTCAATAAAAGAAGGTATATAAGGACAGTAGAGGCAGTTGATGTTTTAATCAAAGTAAAATAGAGAAAAAGCATCACATTTTTCAAAATCATTTAGACTATAATAAGATATTAAAAAGTAAACTTTGATCAATTAGAAGCATGCAAACTCAAACAAAAGATAAAATTGGTTTTACATTTCAGAACCTGAGACTAGTCTCCTTTTCTGGATACACAATAAAGCATATACAAATTTAATTTCAAGGACTACAGCAAGATTAATTAGATGTATTTTAATAGCAATTTAATAGTAAATATAAA